ACATGACATATCTGCAAGAATGGAAAAGCTATTTAAATACTGTCCCCTTTACTAACCATATAAATACCTATGTAAAGCCAGGTTTTCCTCACACACTTCACCACCCTCAACAACAAAAGCCATATAAAAGTCATTGATTGACACAAAATCAGATAGGAGAATAAGGTCTCTTCTACTAAGTCAAACATTAAGGAGATTTGTGAAAATATAAATTAATAAATATTAGTAATCTTCATTATTATAAATAGTAAAATTATAAATAGTAAATATAAAAAACTTCATGTAAATGTTGTTTGTTATTATTTTAAATAAGCTAACAAATAATTTTTTTAATTCTCAGCTTCTTTTTTAATATGATCAATATTGATATATGTAGTCCACATAAACAAAAGCTCTTTGGTGCCCTAGTAATTTTTAGAGCTGCAAAGGGTCTTAAAATCAAGAAGCTTGAGAGTTGCTGCATTAAGCCATAAGCCAATGTCTATCTGCTGGTTGCTGCAATCTGATCTATAAAGAAGATGTTACAGATATATCACTTGGCCCAAAAGAGTTAATTACAGTTAGGAGTTCTTTTTCAGAACCTCTGCTTCCTACTTTCCCTTCCTCGTGGTAAAACACATGCCATCTTAGGTAATTATAGCATGTATAAAGAGGGGACGTTGACCAGGTTTGTGCCCTGGAAGGCTGACTTCATGCTGTGTTTGGTTGGGGGCCCAGGGGTACAGTACCCACTGTTACCTGTCAGGAACATTCTCTGCATCACTTATATCTTTAATTAAAGTTGTCCGGTGAATAGCTTATTTTCCTTTCCTTTGGAACTTTCAAGTCTGTAGAAATCAGGAACCATCAGGCATGATTCAGGACTTCTAGCCAGAGGAGGTAATTGAAAGTGAGGGCTTGAAATGGAGCTTCAAGGATTAAATAATACCACTACTCAAGATGAATGTGTTGTCCTTCCAGGAAAGGGAAAACTCGTTTTAAGCACCTGTAAGGTATTTTTTTTCTCCTGTAGTGATGTTTTCTCTTTGTTCTTTTCTTAAGTGGAGTTAATCATTCCTTGTGAAAGGAAAAGAAAGACAAATATTGAAGACATTTTTCATAGAGCCTCGAACACTACTGTTGGGGGCCACCGAGGGCACAGGGATGTGATTACTGCTCTTGACACACATGGTCTTCTAGATCCCATTACTCCTTTGGACTTTGAAAATTATTTTTCTACTAGAAACTCAGTTATACACCCTAAAACAATGGAGAAGTTATAGATGAAAATGTAGTCTCTGCCTATTTTGAGGCAGTAGGAAGGGGGGGGCGGTAAAATTCAATCAGGCAAAACTAATTACATTTGAAAACTGCTGTTTACTGTTGTATTTGACTTGAGCCAGGGAGCCAGAGGACATCAGTTTTATTCTTTTCAGGAAAAACACATTCCAATTAACCTGGTTTGGTTGTAGAGATGTTTTGAAGATCTAATAGAAGCAGATTTTTTTTTCAGGCACATCTTTATGTTCCATAGCTGCTGAAGTGAATGGTAACAAGGACCCTCAGGTATGACAGGTGTCCAGTCCTTCTAATTCCAGGTCTGGGCGCCTCTCCTGGCTGCTTCACCAGCACCTTGTGCTTCTCCTTCCTGACACTGACAAGCTTAGCTGTGATCCTCCTTGTTGTGAAACCCTCTCGCTTGTCTCTGAGGACAGGGATGTGTCTGTGCGGTACCCTGTGGTGTTTCCACTTGTATGTAGCACATGAAGCGTGCTCACCAAGTACCTATTGAGATGGCAGATGCATGGATGGATGAATACCCAAAAGTGTAATTTTTGAGCAATCAGTTTTGAGCCATCCTGGTTTATTTTCAGAAATCCTGCTTTTATTCAGGGGTCACCAATTCCTTGTATGTCCACTTAGAACCTAGATTCTACGCTCTGTCGCCAGGTAGCTATGAGACTTTAGCTAAGAGTTTTAATCTCTGAGTACCCTTTGGTTTAAAACTGTGGTAAACTTGGGTCCATTAATGTTCTTGCCAATTCTAATCTGTGCTCTCACTTTTTTGTTGTTGTTTGTGTTAGACCTCGACGCAAGAAAAGACCACCGACTCCAATTAAAATCAAATTAAAGCAAGCTTATTATTTCGACCAGCCAGGCTGCCTTTCCCTCCCAAAACGTCGGGAACAAGACAGCCCCGAGGCTTCTTTGTGGCCCAGTTTTATAGCCCAAAAAGTTACACAAAGGGGGGGGGGGTTACAGATAACAACATTCTGAAGAGCATAACACAAGTTTACATTTTTGCTGGCCCCGGYATCAGAATTTATGGAGATCTTAGAGACTCAGAGAGGGTCRTTRTCYGGCCAGGGARGGCCAGAATTTATGAGGCRTCACTAAGGTTTAGGAAAGGGTWGTTATTTGGTCAGGGAAAACCGGACCTGGGTGAGTTCAGGGCACGGGCAGGCATTCCAATCAGCTTTACAACATCAACTAATGGCCAGGCCATACAGACATCCTGATATTTTTACAGAAAACAGAAATGAATCCTTCATAACTTGTGACAAGCTGGCTTCTAATCTAATGAGATAACTAGGCTAGGTATATCATTTGTAGTTTTCAACATTAGTTGTGAAATTTGTATTTTATCATGTCACTGCATCCTGTAAAATTGTCATGTAAGATTGAAAATATGATCCTTTAAAAACAAAGATGGCGGTTTCAAACCCTAACACCGATCATAGTAAAATAGGCAAATCAAGATTTTCAGTTTGGATTATCCGGGGTATTTTTCTCTGATTGCTGCTAAGTAAGATATTAAGTGTTCCTTGACTTCTGTACTTGAAGGTGATTAAGAAAAATTGAAAGAAAATACACCTGAGTTAGTTCATTATTTCTCATACAGAGTTATTTGCACAGGAACTTGTAATCATTGGCTAAGATGCCTCTTGGAAATGGTTGTGATGTCTGATATGGCTGCAGTATCAACTCTAGGGTACCCAAACTCAAGAGCATCTTGTGCTTATCTCATTAGTCAACTGCTCACATTGCATTGTGTTTGTTAGTTCATTGGTCTTTGAGTAGAACTACTATGTTGTCATCATCTCTGTGTCTTAGGCATCTAACTCCTAACCCTGTAAGTGGAAAAACCAGCCAGCACTAGTCAAACTTCTAGTGATCAGACTAAGAATAATAACTACATGTAAACAAAGGGCTGAATATGTAGTACACATTGTTCTGAGTGTTTCACATGTTTTGACCCATTTAATTTTCACAACCCTATGAGAGAGGTTCTATTGTTATTCCTGTTTTACATTTAATGCAGAGAGAGAGAGAGAGTAAAGTCTCACAGGGGTAAATAATAGGGACAGGATGCTAATCCATTGTACTCAAGTACCAAGGGCCCAATTCTTAATTACTGAGATTGTAGCTAACCTATGTTGAATGGATGGATAAGTGAATGAATACCCAGTGCTACTTTCTAAATATCAATTTTATTGGAGTTTTATGTAATTTACATTCTGCCTATCATCTTTATACACACACACACACACACACACACACACACACACACACACACTGGGTTGTCAGCCACTCCATGGATAATATCTTTTAAGTCTTCCCTTTTTCAGTAGATTGAATGGAAATACTTTAAGATTTTCATTGGTGGGGGGCTGGGGTTGTGGCTCAGCGGTAGAGCATTTGCCTCTCACATGTGAGACCCTGGGTTCGATTCTCAGCACCACATAAAAATAAAAAAACAAAATAAAGATATTGTGCCCATGTATAACTAAAAAAAAAATTAAAAAAAAAGATTTTCATTCATCTTTAACTTTTTTGAGTTTGGTAATTTGTTGAGTTTGGCAGTAAAAAAGAACATATTTTTAAAAGCCTGAATCCCCACTTTTGTCAAAGAGATATCTCACCTTTTCCTTAATGGTGTTTAAATATGTGAATTCAAGCAGATGGCATTGGTCATTCTATAGAGGATAAAGTTTCTATTACCTTTCTAGGTTAAATCAAATCTGAGTCCTGACCTGTTGCAGCACTTGGTATGAATATCTAACATTTTTATTCATAGACTTAAGGTGCCACGTCTGAGAAACCTGTGCTTCACCTTCCCTTTCCTGGCTGAGGGCTCAGGAGTAGTAACTTACAGTAGTTTTGGAAAATGTTCATGTAGAGAACATCTTAAGGAAACAGTTGTTCTGTGCTTTATTCTGCATCATTTCCTTTTACCTGTACTAGGAAATCAAATTGTTTCTTGGTGGATAATTCATAGAACATCAGGTTAATTAGATTTTAACTACTGTATTGTAAAAGAAAGTGTGATCTCTGATGGTTGTGAAAGATGTGCCTAAAAGTTAATTCATGACTATTAAAGCATGTTAGGGTGATCTTTAGATGAATAGAACATGAGGGCAATTAGAAAATTGTCCATTGGAAGTGTGGCCAGTAGCCCCACTTCCCCACTCAGGCTGGAGGGATGCTCTTGAGTAGACATACTACTCTAGGAGGGAACAGCTCAGAGATTTTTTTTTTTAAAAAAGCACAGGTTTGATAAGGGGAGTAGCAAGTAGTTTGGTAAACCATAGAAATATTGGAAGGAAAGAAAGGATGAGGCCAAGCCCTCCCCATAACCTGCAACAGTCTCCCCTTCCTTCTTCCCTTAAAAAACTTCCCAACACACACCTTATAATATAGATCCTTTAAAAAAAAATAGTGCTGTCTATTCAAATGCCTCCCAGCCAGATCCCCACTTCTAAGCACATTCATAGTTTACTAAGAATTACAGAGGTGAAGGACATCTCTTTCAAACGGTAGTTTTCAAGCCTTTTCCACAGTCCACTTAGATGTTCCATAGTATTAAACATCACCTTGTTTGCCCTAAAGGAATTAAGCACAGATCTGTATTGTAGGTACTTGTGCATAGTTAGTAATTCACCTTAATTCAGGCAGAGTTCATAATGTTTTTTCATGTTTGTTTTGTTTTTTTTTTTTTTTTTTTGGTCCCTTCTTTAAAGGAAAGATTTAAGGAAGCTGAAGAAATATACCAGGCAGGAATAAAGAACTGTCCAGACAGCTCAGATTTACACAACAACTATGGAGTTTTCTTAGTTGATTCTGGTAAGTGAAATTTAAAAAGAACCTTCTGTGTGGAGATTAGATAATACTATTTATCAAGCAAAAGGGGGTAACCCAAACAATCCCTCAGAAATAAAATCCAGTGTCTTGGCAGGAAGCTCGCTGTGCTGCCAGTCACATTGTACCTGGGCTGGGGGCTGTCATGTCAGTCTTCAGGCTCAGTTTAGTAAACTCTGCGCCTTCTTATAATCATGTCTCTGAGGAAAACTCCTCAGGTGGCAGGAAGTATCCTCCAGGAGTTAATGAGGCTCAGCTTTCTTTGGGTATCATTTGTACAAGTTTATAAACCTATGATGATGAAATGCTCCTCCACAGTGATACAGTACCCATCTCTGGATCAAGTTACCAGCAGATGGTAGATTCTTTTGTATAATTGATTTTTTTTTTTAAAAAAAAAGCCTTCAGAATTGTTTCGTTGTTCCCTCCTTGATATGTTTTACAGAAAGTACATTATTATAATTGATGCAGTATTCTCCTATGACAGGTACTAAATAAAATGTACTTATTTAATACAAAAGGTTACGGGCATGAATTCTATTTTATGATTTGTGCCAAGCCCCATATACTATTGGCATGTAATGAATACTTACAAGTCATGAGATGATATTTGAATTGAATGCAAAAATACCACTTTGTTCTTATTGACTGCTAGACTGGATGCCCTGCGGTAAAATTCACTCTTAATTATTTTTTCCCAATATGAAATGCTTTAAAGGTTTTTATTTTCCAGGATATGTGAAGCTCTTCTGTTTTACAGAATATAAATTTACATTCTTACATATCTAGGAAACTTAACCTTATTTTTGCATGTAAAATTGTTGTAGAGTGCCACCTGCTGGTTCATTAGCCACATGATAAATTGTCATAAGATATAAAGATCCAAAGAGACCTCCTGTGGGCCTAATTTAACCCTCTTCTTTTTATTTCAACAAGACAGAGTCACACGCAGTTTTAGTCAGCTTTTTTCCTCCACTGTGACCAAACAACCAACAGGAACAATTTTAGAGGAGGAAAAGTTTTGGGGGTGCTCATGGTTTCAGAGGTTTCAGTCCATAGATGGCCGGCTTCATTGCTCTGCCTGAGATGATGCAGAACACCATGGCAGAAAAGTGTGATAGAGGAAAGCAGCTTAGGACGTGGCCACCAGGAAGCAAGGGAGAGCTCCACTCACCACAGACAAAAACGTGTACTCACACCCCCAGTGACCCATTTCCTGCAGCCCTACCCTAACTGACTACCATTACCACCTGGTTAATCCATATCAGCAGGTTAATGCCCTGATTAGGTTAAGGCTTTCATAATCCAGTCATTTCACCTCAATTTTCTTGCCGTGTTTCACATGAGATACGGGTGGACACCTCAAATCCAAACCATAACATACTCTACATATCCTGTAAATGACAATGACAATTCACAGGTCTCTCTGTGACATGGTATGTCTTGGATCATCCTAGTCAAACTTATATTCAAAGAGGGTGTATGTGAGAAAATTTCCTTGCAGATAATAAAGATTCCTTTCCCATTTAGAACTGTAGGGTATTCTGAAGTTCATTCATTTAGCTGGTTTCACTAGGAAACTTCTTGGGGGAACCATCTCAGACCAGAGAGGTTTGATTCTCATTCTGGCCTTTTTTCTTGCTTGCTATAGAATCCTTGTCAAGTCTCTTATGTCTTTGCACTTTAATGCCTATATCTGTAAGATATATCTGTAAATATATCTTTATATCTGTAAAGTGGTACTTTTGTTTTTGTTTTAAATATTTTTTAAATCCCAAGACATAGCAAATTATATCAAAAGGCAGCTAAACAGTATCCAAAACACCTGCAGGATCATATAACTGGGAAGTATACTGAAATATATAAATAATAAATTTTATAATGCCTCAAATAAATACAAATTGGCATTATTATTATGTTTAAAGTCATATTAAACAAATGCCATTTAAATAAAAATGTATAATTTAAAAAAGAGATTTTCAAGATGGAGCTTATACATACAGTGCCTCAGTAACTGTCCTCAGTATAGTGATTTAGACAGACCCTTAGAAATTGCCTCAGGACAGTTTTCTTTCCATAATAGCCAAATCTAATTTTTGTACAACTGGATAAATAACAATCGCTGATAATCTCAAAACCTCATATGAACAAAGGTGGTGCCCAGAAACAGTTTGACTAATGTAATACATACAGTAAACACTTTGGCTACTGTAGTATACATAAGTACATTCGTTTTGCTACCTTTTATTACTAATTCTTTGAAAGTGTGAATGAAAAGGGAAATGGTCCAAAGTTAGAGTAAGGAGAAGCCAAAAGGTAAGCTAAAATACAGATTGAATCATTGTTGGTCTGACCRTAATACTGAGGAAGAATTATACAGATAATACTGTATCTCACAATTGAGACATGTTCTGCTCTTACCAAACCGTTATTGGTTGCAGGCTCTCCAGAGAAAGCAGTGGCCCATTACCAACAGGCCATTAGACTCAGCCCAAGTCATCACGTGGCCATGGTGAACCTGGGCAGACTCTACCGGTCCCTGGGGGAGAACAGCATGGCCGAAGAATGGTACAAACGGTACAGTTCCTTTTCTTTGCTTTCACATTGCCAGAGACCTCAGCAATTGCCACCAACTTTGTAATTCATTGGAACAAACAGGCTTTCAGAAGACTGGCAGATTTTGCCAGTTCAGGTGATACAGATTCTCATTTCCAAAGAGAATAGTTCAGCAATAAAAAAAAAAAAAACGGTATCCTTATAGACTTTTCTTCTTACTGGTTAGGTCATGACACTTATAGCTAGGGTTTGAATTTAATTTCCACTACAGTTAATCCATGGACTGCAACCTAAACCACACATATCAATTTCATGATGGGAATAGAAGAAAGACTGCACAGACATCAGAATAAGAACAGACCTATCTGTCAACAGCAAGGGAAAAGACCTTTGGGACTCAGTTACCATGTTGGCAGGTCACCAGATACATCTTTATATTCAGAGAGTGTCATTATTATCCTTTTTTTTTAATCTTAATCATCTCAAACCTTGGACAGTCCTCCCTAAATCTAAGTTTAGGCCTTCAGAAATGTGCCTGTTAGAAGGAAAGTGTCAATTTGCCTTTCTCCAAACTCAGTGCCCTGCAGGTGGCACGCAAAGCTGAGATATTGTCACCTCTGGGAGCACTGTATTACAACACTGGCCGCTATGAAGAGGCTTTGCAGATTTACCGGGAAGCTGCAGCACTTCAGCCTTCACAGAGGGAGCTCCGCCTGGCACTGGTGAGCAGGAGGAGGAGGGCACATAAAGCTGGGAACACAAGCACAATGGGCATCAGGGCGCGCTGTAGTCACCAGGCCGCAGAACAGGAGCCCATTGCGTGAGTCTTCATAGAATCAGGGTCACTACCACTCACAAAAGACAGGGGCACCAAAAATATTTGGTGTTTTTGCTTCAGAATACCCTTAGACTTACAAAATAGTTGTAAGGATGCAGATATATCTTGGTAGCAGCCATTTGTCTAGCATGTATAATGCCCTGGGTTCCATCAGAGCCATCATAAAATAAAAAAGTTATAAAAATAGCTTAAAAATTCCCATGGACCTATTCACCCAGCTCAATCAATTTTTAACAATTATGTATGCATATGTGTATGTACATATGTGTAAACCTATATATATTTAGATGTTTATGAATGTTATTATACTATTATTAGCACATGGTATAATTTTTCTAACTCTTGTTGGTTAATTATAGATATCAAACCCCTTTATCTCTAGGTACTTTTGCATATAGTTCCTAAGAACAAGGACCTTTTCCAATGTAACTGCAGTACAGCCACCAAACTCAGGAAAAATAACATGAATATCAATATTTTTATTCAGAATTTCATTCTTCCTTAGATGTACTATGTCAAACTTGTTATTAAAAACAAATCGTTAAAAACAGATTGTTGGAATCAGGAAATTATATATCTTCAGACATATTCACTCAATATTTTGTAAGAGGCACCAGCCATTTCATTGGGTGTCTTTGACATTTCTGTGATTCAGACACAAATATATGCACATACCTAAATAAATAAAGGAACAAAGAACCACAAAAACTAAAACCTATGAGCTGGTAGTTCAGCCTTCTCTGTGAGTCACTAAATAGATGCTGAGTGTTTTTGTCAAGATTGTTTTCTGAATGCTTCCATTTGGGGTTAACCGACTATCTTCTAAGCCAAGGTTCATGTGGGTTTGCAGGCTCAGGTTTTGGCTGTGATGGGTCAGACGAAAGAAGCTGAGAAGATGACCAGTCACATTGTGTCAGAGGAGACTGGATGCCTCGAATGTTACCGCCTCTTGTCAGCAATCTATAGCAAGCAGGAGCACCATGACAAGGTAGGGAAGGTCACTGCTGAGAGTTGTTTGGACTCGAGTAGAAAGTGTGCTCACCTGAATGGTTCTCCAGTTACACATTCATAAGGCCAAGAAGTCTTGAACATCACCAGCGGGCCTGTCCTAGCTCATGCAAGCTTTTCACGGATATCCCTTTAACTCCTAAGATGTCCCTTTGAAATACTATATTCTTGGGTCCTCCTTATTCTAAATATATTGTGTGCTCTTATCTCCGCTGTTAGCTAGTTCTGAAAGTCTAACATTTGTACACTTTGTCATTTTCCATGCTTCTTCTAACACAGTTTTATGCAAACTTCTTAATGACCCTAAAAGGCAGGGCAGTGTTGCAAATGCTCCTGTTTATTTTCATTTTAAAAGTCACATAACCAGGAAATTCTTGAGCTGACTCAATAAAATATTTGTTGAGTGCTCACTATGTGCCAGACACTGTGTTAGGCTCAACCAAAAAATGGTATGAAGAAAAACAAAAGATCACTGCCTTATCTTCATGGAACTAACAGTAGAAAAGAAGATAGAAATTAAACAAGTACACAAAACAAATGTGGTTATAACACAGCTCAGTGATATCATAAAGAGATATGGTGTCCCAAAGAACATATCATGGGGTCTCCTTACTATATATACTGGTCTAGGGGGTCAGTAGGTTAGGGTTGGCTGATAAGTAGCAGTTATTAAGCAAAAGGAGCTGCGGGTGGTGGTGGGGGGGGGATTGTGATGGGAACAGCACATGCACAGCAATAAGGGGCCTGGCTGAGAAATGGGCCTGAGAGAACAGGAGCACAGCATGAGATGCAAATGGGTGGCTGGAACTAGACCCCTGGGGCAGGGCTCATGGCTTCATTTCTCATCCTGGAAGAAACTCTGGGGTTTCTGAGGAGAAAAGCAACTTGATCAGATGTGTGTGTTTTTAAAGGGTGTCTGCTGCAGAGGAGCTGTGGTGCTGGGGCTGAGGGGACCAGAGAGGAGGCTGTTGAATGGTCCAGACAGACATGTGGTCAGGGCAAACATCTGACCCCAGATCTTGCTTCCTTTCAGCTGTATTGCACAACTTCCCTATAAACCGGTTGTCACTGGTTTATAAATGGGAAACCTGCAGTATAAAGATGTTATTTTTGTTAAGGTCATCAAACCTCAATGAGAATGTCAGGGAGAATGGAGAATGTATTTTGATTGTTGGACACCCATGAGCCAACACATCTGAACAAAGAGTTTTATGAATTTTATTATTCAAGTAAGATTTCCTTTATCCAATGTGCATTTATTCTGCCCTTTATTTCCCATCTGTGTAGGCACTTGATGCTATAGACAAGGCTCTCCAGCTGAAACCAAAGGACCCAAAAGTTGTATCTGAACTTTATTTCACAAAAGGAAACCAACTAAGAGAGCAGAACCTTCTTGACAAAGCTTTTGAGGTAAAAACACCTAAAGATATGGTATTAAATTTGCAGATTAAAATGAATACTCCTGTAGTATTTAATGAAGATTCTGCAGAAGACACAAGTGAACATCAGTAGAAGTTTTACTGATATTATTTACTAAATTACCATACTTTTTTTTCCTTGTGTCCAGCCAACAGTTAGAGTAATGAGGTTGCAAAAATTATACCCAAGTATATTGTGGAGAAAATCTCAAATAATGTAATGGTGTTGAAAAATAAACACATGAGTGTTTACTTTTTAAAATATTATTGAAAACATGTAAAGATATGTGAACTAATGTGAATGTGAACCCTTAAGATAGAAATGGTGGCATTTTTCTCTGAAACATTGCAAGCATTTTTCTCAGAAATTGTGGGTTTTCTTTGCCTTTTGAATGCTTCTAGTACCTTCCTTCCTAATTTATTTGTAATTAATGTGATAATATCATTATTGGTAAGTTAACTACAGATATTTATATTGTATAGTAATTTATGGGTATTTAAACTATTTATCTGTATCTTAATTACATAGTATTCAAAGCAAAGGTAATTTCATAGTTGTTTTTCCAGTGGCTCAGATAGTCATTATCTGGAGTGGTTAGATTCAAAGAAGTGTGGCAGTAGGTTCAAAACCAACAGTAGTTAATTAGCATATCTGTGTATGATTTACTTGTATGAAGTCACAGATGTCACATTGTATAAGAAAAACAGAGCAATTGTCACCACTTTATACTTTTGTAAATTGAGACTCATAGGTCATTTAACTTGATTAAGGTCACACTGGTATAAGAGATGGAGCCATGGTTTGAATCTAGCTCTTAACTTCTATACTACACTCCCATCTCTGCTAATATAAATTAATCCAAGAGACATGCCTTTAGGTTTATTTTAGTGGCTTTTAAAAATATATAATTTCTCATCATTTACTTATTTCTCCTAAAACTGATGTAGAGGAAAAATAGACTAGATTTTATTTAATGGACTTGTTTCTCGCTAATAAAAATACCAAACAGCTTTAAAATACACACAGATCCTTAGGTTTGTAAAGCCTCTGCCTTATTTAAGGTGAGTACTCCGAAAGTTAGGATTTCATGGTGAGCATACTTCTGATGTAAAACAATTCATATAAGGTTAAAAATAGACCTCACTGGTACTGCATTTTATAGAATATATAATATTCAGACAAAAGAATATGCTTAAGAGATAATTCTTTTGGAACATTTGAAGACAGTTCATATGATAGAATAAAAACAAAATTGCTGTTTAAACTATCTACTAGTAAAATAGATGCAATAAGCATCTGTTTTAAGAATTTAAGCACAGGCTRGATAGGGAGGTCAGTGATGTTATAGAAGGGAGTGCTACACTGGAATTAAGCTGTTTAGGAAACTCTTCTAAGATTTGCTGACTTTTATTTATTTATTTATTTATTTGAGTGCTAGGTATTGAACCCATAGCTACATGCATGCTAAGCACATACTCTACCATGGAGTTACATTCCCAGCCCCCAGATCAGATTCTATGATTTTGAAAAGGCTTCTTCTTTCCAACTGCACTATCATGAATAAAGCCAAGAGTACAGTTTTCTTGCAGGTCAAGGCCAGTGGGAAGTGGTGTGCTATTATAGAAATCACCTGGATTCCCTGTATTCATCCTCAGTCTCTTTAAGAGCACATATTAGCTCTGCTGGGAAATTACACATTTCAGTTTCCTTCACTTTATAATCATCAATTTTGAAAAATAGCATAAATGAATGGGGACTCTCCTGAACCAGGAGTGGTGACTAGATTCATTCTATTAACCATTTAAATTTTCACTTGTGCAGGAAGCGTTCTGCAATCTTGTATCATCTCATTTCCTAACCTGATATTTCTTGTTTATTTAGAGCTATAAGGCAGCTGTAGCACTAAATCCAGATCAAGCACAGGCCTGGATGAACATGGGTGGAATTCAGCACATCAAGGTAGGAGAATAATTCACTTCACGGGACTCGGGTTTTCCATTTCCGTTTCAGCATTCAATCTCTTCTAAGGGATGCAGAAACCACTAATTTCCTCTTTGAAATCATTTGACGACCAAAATCATAGGTGTTTAAAAGTGAAATTCACAGTATGTGTTTACTTCACATTTTATAAATACTGAATATCATGAATTTTTAACATATATATAATGTGTAAGTTAGATTTCATTTYGCTAATCATAGAAAACCATATATACGTATATACGTATCATCTCTGTAAACTGAATCCCCATTGAGGGCTAGTGTGGCTTAAATTTTTTGATTAACTCTCCATTAACATTAAAGTATGACTTTAAATACTACTTACCTGTTTCTTATATCTAAGGCATTGTTTGCTGCTTAAGCTTTTACTGAAAAACATGTTTGTATGTTTTGTTTCACTTCTCGAAAGAAAAGCTAACTTTGGGTAAGTTTGCCAAGGATTGAAATAACCTTTAGGGGGACTATTGTTTATAACTAATGAAATCAAAGATTCACTGCCATCATTCATTCATTCATTCATCTTACAAGCATCTGTGGAGAGCATCCTATGTGCCAGGTACCCTTATGAATTGAGAACACATCACTGAACAAACAAGTCAAAAGCTCCTGACTACATAGGTGAGGAGGACAGTTAGCCTGTGACTGACAGCCTTGACTTAAGAGATGGTGAATCTAAACATGACCTTTATCCTAGTCAAGGAACTCAAGTTCTGATCTTAATAATATTTGAGAGTGTCTAGCAATATCCAGTTGGGAAATAGAATGAGCTTACTTGAAAGTAGTAAAATCATAAGTTTAAATATTTTAAATTGTATAATAAGTAGTTTTATTTCAAAACAATGTGCTAGTATTTGTTCAGATGGAATATGGTGGCAATTAAAGCTATGGGATCAATTGTTAATTGGAACAAGTATGACAGATACCCTTAAGAGTATCCAAGAAGTCTAGAAATGCAGATAAAACAGTGTATTTATTGTCCAGTTGAGCCTAGTGCTTTATATTTAGAGGCACTTCTCCTGGAAATGATTCAACATACTCAATAGATCCTTCGCCAAATATATAATAAATATATATATATATATATATATATATATATATATATATACACACACACACACACACACATACACATGTATATAAAATGAATATATATATACATATATAATGAATCTACATATATATTGGAGAAGGATCTATTGAGTATATTGTTTTAAAATGTAATCAACAGTGATTAAAAATTAGCCTCTGTTTTGTTGTTACTGCAGACATCATGTGTGAAGTTGAGCCATCACATTTATAGTTTTAAAATGGTCCATAAGTGAGTTCATTTATACAATCTAACATCTATATAGAGAGCAGTCGTATAGCTTGGATGTGGTCATGTAGATGTGCTAAGCCTTCACGATTATCATGAAGCCTAGAAGAACAGTCCTGAACATTCTGTGTCTTTTGCATTGATGAATGGTGTGTGCAATGGACAGTGTCATCCCATTCTTGGGCCTAACTCCTTCTCTGTACTTGGGGGGGAACTTGGGCAGGCCTAAGGCCAGTGGGAAGGTGGAGAGTTTGAATAAGGCTTTGTGAGGTGACTCAAGAGAAGGGGATAAGGCCGTGAGTTCCATGGTTGTCTCCTGCTCATACTACTTAGTAATAAAAGACACAATTTAAATATTTTTTACGGTAAACACTTGGGACAGAATTGTCTCTGATTTTTTTGAGAGTGGTAGAATTTTTGCATATACATAATGAGATATATTGGGTATGGGACCCAAGACCAAATACAAAATTTCTTTGTGCTTCATGTAATTCTTTTATACACATAACCTGAAGGTAGTTTTATACGATATTTAAAATGTGCCTACAGTTTGACAGGTGACCTATCACATGAAGTTAGGTGTGGAATTCTCTACTTGTGACATCAGGTTGATGCTCAAAAAGATTCAGAGCTTGGAGCACTTTGCATTTTCTCATTAGGGATGCTTAACCTTTCAATGAAGTTTTATGTAAGATAAAATAGGTAGACCAAAAAAAAAAAAAAAAAACTGTACTACATTTTCTTATAAACAAAGAGGTTCCTCAGCCAGATCATATTACTAAGTACTATTTTCAGTACTGCCACAGATCAGTAATCTGCAGTTTCTAGAATGTCATGTTATCCAGTAGATCTTTCTGTGATGGTTGACGTGTTCTATATCTGCATTGGCCAAGGAAATAGTGACCAGCCACATGGGGCTATTGAGCAGGTGAAATGTGGCTGATGCAACTGAGGAATTGAATTCTTAATTTATTGTCATTAAATCCAAATAACTGCAGGTAATTAGTGGCTTTCACTTTTCTAGAAACTGGACATTTCAAACTCCCTACCTAGCATGGAATTGGAAATACTGAATAAAGGATATAATTTTTTTAAAAATATATAGTTTCCAGTTTAATCAAGAATACAGCAATTTGAGGGAGAGAAAATGAACTAGGTTTCTGTCAAAAGGACAGAGAAACCTGCTGATCTGAGAAGATGCCAAGGCACTGGTATAAGACCTAAGTTCAGCGCAACCTCCTGAAAGAACAATTTCAAGCTCAACTGCAATAAAAATATATTTGGAGAACACTTTAATAGCCACAAATGTGTAGTTGTCAGCACATGTGTGCCAAGCTTGATAAAAATCAAAGCCTTACAATATAGATTCTTGAATTGAAAAAATAATAATTGAATGTAGCAAATCTAAGATTCCACTTGTCAGCAATCTGTTTAGCCTCTTTTCAGAGTGATTGTTAATAATCAGAAACACTTTCATTTATTGCACATACCAGAGCTTGGATTCCATGTACAATTTTTTGTTCTGTCATTTCCACTCCCTTTCATGAATATACAAGTGAATACTATGAGAAACAGGCAAGATTTAATAACAGTAATGATGGTATCACATTGAGAGTTCACTACATCAGGCAGCTGCTAAACTTTTGACACACAGCAGCTTATTTGGAAGATGATTAACTTTCAATAAATATTAGTTGCTAGTTGCTACCTACTACTTTTACTCCAAGAGATACAATTTTAAATTGTGATGGAAATTTAGACTGCTGAGCTTGGCTGTTCATCCACATGGACGTTGTAACTGAGAATGAGGTATAGCATGTAAAAACACCAGTATTAATGTATTTTTAGAGTGGGGAGAACTCTAACATTCCTAGTTCTGGGATTTTGCAGGACACAGATCTGAAAGGGTGGAGCAAACAAGGGAGGCAATACAAGTAGTAATAGGAAAGGGCTGGAGAAAAAACTAATGGCTGTGACTAATTTGCCAGAGACCATCTGGGACCAGACACATATGGTTGCCAACTGGGGAGTCACTAAACAAAACAGATGTATGCCAATGAAGGGTGAGGACAGGTTTATTCAGCAGGTCAGAGAAACACACCTTCCCTCCTACACTGAATATATAATGGTTAAGTATCACCATCACCTAGGATACTAGATAAATTTAACCCCATATTTTCATCAAGTATTTTCATGGTGTAAAACCTATGTTAGGCAAAAGTTACTTTTTATGTTTCAATTTGAAAATTAGAATGATTTCTTCCACTAAGAATATACAGTCATTAAGTAAACCATTTAATCATTATTCTTGCAGTTTCCAAAACACCCCACCCTCTTCCTCTCTCTCTCTCTCTCTATCTCTATTTCCTAACCATGGCTCCATTTTATTTTATAAAGGAACAGGGCACCTAGTTGGTTCCATAGATATATTCCATGCTTGCATAATTATATTGAAGTGAATTCTACTACCATGTATAACTAAAAAGAACCAGTTTTTTTAAAAAAAGGAACAGGGCTAACCCCTTGGGATCACTATGAAATGATAGCCTCATGCCCTACATTAATAGAACTGAAAATCAGTTTTTTTCTTCCCTTTAACCTTATGATATAATGCTTATCCTTCACATTCTCCAGCTGGTCTGGTACTCAAAACAAATGGATTCTCCAAAAGCACCAATAGATAACAATAAAATGGCACATGCCAACAAGATTTCCTTATGAAAAGGAAATGTTAAACTGGCCAGAGAGTTTTTCTGTCTCCCCATGCTCTGGAAAAGTGTTCTGATGGAACTGAGGATAATTGTTCTCTTTCTTTTTCCCCACAGGGAAACTATGTGTCTGCAAGAGAGTATTATGAGAGAGCTTTACAGCTGGTTCCAGACAGCAAACTGCTGAAGGAAAATCTCGCCAAATTGGATCGCCTAGAGAAACGATTACAAGAAGTTCGAGAAAAGGATCGAACGTAGCACTGTTAAACCCATCTCATGGGACAATGCTGGTGCCCCTGGAAGAGGACAAGTGATGGGGACCTTGCTTTCACATCCATGGGGGCACAACCAGTCGTGCATTCCTCTCAAGACTCTGAGTTTGGGGTGGCAGACCTTGGGGTGTCTGCTAGTAGCCCTGTGCTGAAGGACTTGCATTTCCATGAGGAAAAAGACAAAATCAGCAAGCCAGGCAGGATGATCTGAGAGGAAAGGAAAACAGCAGCTACACATTTTACAGATTTTTGTTTGGTTTAACTCCCGATTTCCCTTAATACATTTCTGTGCTTTTGCAACCCGGAGATCTAATTCACTTTCATAGTTTAGACATTCGTGTCCCCCGAAATTACAGAGGCTCGAAATGCTATAAAGGCGGAGCATCCATTCTTCATGGGATGAGCTATTTCAAAGAGGATAAATCCTCTGGTGTAAGCCATTTGGAAAAGTCTACCAAGTGGAAGCTCAGTTAATTCTCCAGACCCTGAAATGAGTATGTAATAGCTTTTGTAGAACCTTGTAGAATATATGGGGAAAAGGGCTATTGTAAAGTGAGCTTTATCTAATATCCCCCTAAGGATATTACCAGAGATATTTTGAGGAGTAAATTCAATTCCACTCTGAGGCAAGTTTTTCCATTGCCTAATATATCAAAAGGGAAGCTTCTAGAATTGTATATGGGTATCTTTATCCCTACAGGAAAATCAAGGAAAATGATGCCCCTAATTCTTTATGGAAATGTTTAAAATTATTTTAATTTTATTACTAGAGTAGTAGTTCTTTCTACTCCAAGATTTCAAAAGTGCATTTAAAATCTCAAACGTCCCACCTTCAAATATATTGTTATTTTGGTGGAGAAAAAAATAGTATATTCTACATAGAAAATATTAAAGATATTAACTGAGAGAAATGTCCTACTTTATTATTGTAATGTTCAGACATCTTAAGATTTATTATTTTTTTGGAAAGTATATTTAACCATTGAAAAATATTTACAATATATAACAGAAATCTTCATAGACTCTAACTAGATGGAAAAATAACTATTTATTTGTCTTCCTAGTCTTCATTGGGAATTCTGTGCTTAAAACATGAATGACTGAAACCCAAACTTTGTCTTATACTTGTAATTTTGAAGATTTCATGGAGAATACTCAAAAAATCTAGGGGAAAGTCTAAACTTAAAATTTTAAAAATATATATATTTATATTTAAAAGGAAGGCAAAGGTGAATTCACAATTTGACATTTATTTCTAGTGTTATTTATTTCATAACTTATAAAATACTTAATATATATGCATATATACTTTTTTCTCTGTACATAAGTTTTAATAGCATCTTTCAAAACTGACCATACAAAAATATGAATCTGAATTACAAAGTAGTTAAACAGTCCCTCCAAAAAAATTATATTGATTATCCACCTACTCAATTTAACAGAATTGGGGCTCAGCCTTCAATATTTGTGTGGTAATATATTTTGGAAATGAAGAAATTGGAACACCTGGTTCTAACTTGATCATCATCATTAAAAACAAAAACACTCCAGGCAGTACTGGTCATGTGCTGAGCCAGGTACCACACAGACATCGCAGCCTGTAGGTGCATATATTTCACCTTCTCAGGCCAGTAAAAAAGCCTTCTACTTACCACCCAAGATCAGGAAGTACTGCCCCCATATGTTATTCTTTTGTCAAGGTAAGTCTAAATAAGTGGAAGTAAACTTCTTTGGAGATGAAGGGGAAGATGTTATAAATGCAAATGATGACAGATTTTAAATTAGCATGTATCTTTTTTGTACATATCAGTAATCTGATAATGTATAAATTACCATTATAACCTTCTGTTTCTAATGATCTTTTAGTGTTACACGTCATAAATTTATCTTTAAAAATATCTTAAAAAGGTTTTTCTCCTCCCTAACCCAATATAATATTTCTGTAGTCCTTAGGCCAAAAAGCATATGACTAAATTTATTGCAACATAACTTTTCATCCCCAAATTGAAAACAGGAAGTCTCTAGTATCTAGGACTTTACCACAACTTTTCAGGATAGTGTGTAACCAAAACTCATGCTTAGAAAGTTAATGGAAAAGATTGTACGCCAAATTTTGAAGTAATCATGCCTTATTTAAAGGCCCACTGAAGGTATGAGTACACATTTTTTGGGGCAATTTAAAGGCAATTAAAGTCTGAAAATTTCTGAGGGAAAAGAGTCACATGGCCTTCAGGAGATTTTTCTCTGCTGCTTTTCATGTTCTCTGTCCCCCAGTCCCTCTTTCTCTTATTCTCTGATTCATCTGTCTGCACACACCTGCCTCTCCTTAGACATTAAAACCAAGCACTGTTCAAAGGGGTAGGGAGGGAACGTAAGCGTTGTTTATTCAGTCAGATATTTTTATCCTTCACTGAAATGTAGCCAGTGAAATAGTTTTCTCAGTTGAAATGGTGCCTATAAGAAATTAAATCACATTATTTTTCAAAGATGTTAAGTGTATCTTGCAATGTTTCATTTGGTCCCTATAATGTGAAATAATAAGTGGAATTCATCCTTATCAGAATAACAGTGGAGAGCCCTGGCTAGTCAAGGAGATGGCTCTGGTTTTCCCTTAATGAAGGCATGCTTGGCCTGTGAATTGAGAGCCCTTTCTGAAGTGGAGGAGCAGAGCTGGCTTCATGAGTGTGCAGTCCGTGTTGTCTCAAGGGTCCAACACTAAGAAGCATCCTCTCTTGGTTGAATTCTCTGCTTAAAATTCTTAATTACTTTTAAACAGTAGACCCCTTGATTTCATTTTCCACTAGGTCCCAGAATTAGGCAGCAAGTCCTGGGCAGGAAGGAAGGACAAGACAGGAGTTGCTTTGGCCTGGCTGGACACTTGATCTAATATTCAGTTTCCTTTGTGACTTTGTCACTCTGAGCACCATTTGTTACTCTTTTCTCAGCTACATTAAGAATTCTCCATGCACATTCCCTCCTCTAGGCTGAGTCTTTCTGACCTGTTCTTCAGTTCTCCCTAGAACCAGTTCTTCTCATCTTCAAAATCCACACAAATGGCAATTCTTTAACATGCCCTTTGACAGAGAAGAATGAGGTGAGAATGGCTTAAGTAGCTTATTTTAACCTTATGAATTATTCAAGATTTTGAAAATGATTCAAGCATTTCTTATTTATTAATAGCATTCATAAAATATGATGTAACATAGGTGCTTAAAACCAAAGATGCAGATACCTTGGAAAAAATCAAATTTTAGGGAATCCTGAGATAGTCTTTTGGGTTTATTTATTTTGAAGCTATTACAAAACGAGGAGGATTACCACCATGTAAATTCCAACTCCCTATAATACTTCACAACCCTTAGCATAAGCTTGTGAAATTTACTATAGGTGGTACCTCATCTGATGCCAAATTTTGAAGTATTTGTGCAGCTACTTGTCAGCCTGACCAAATGAGAAAATACAAACCATCCCATACAATCTGACTCACAGGAACTATAATTTGAGAGGGAGTAAAAAGCAAGTGTGCGGTTTCTTAAGGTCTCCATTAGATATTTCAGGTGCCTCAGATGCAGAGCTGCACTCTGCTCATTGTGAGATGTGTCACCTCACACACAGTGGCTCTCAACACTAGCTTCCCTTAGGCAACAACTGAAAACCTTTCAAAATCCTTACTATCTGGCTGATCGGGTGATGATTCCAACAGCAGTGAGGCTACAGACATTGCAGGCCTGATAACTTTAATGGGAGTTTATGATTTTTTCAAAACATATATAATCTTTCAAAATTTTTACTTTTTAACTACTAGACTTAAAAAAAGCAAAGAATTCTAAAGAGTAATTTATGGCACAATGGTTGGTTAAGGACATCTCATTCCAAGATTAATCAACAAGTGACAGGGTGGGATGGTTTTGCACTTGTGGCAACTGGACTGTAATTTGGCCTTATGCTTACAGAATTTGTGTTCTCAGATGGAGATGAGTTGCCTTGCCATTTGAAAGCACCAGATAAGATGCCCAGTATATAAACATGATATTATATAACTCATAGGTGGTATAGAGTGTCTTAGAGTTTAGTCCTACATGATTCTGTCTGGCCCATATATGGAAACCTTTGTTAATCAATTCTCAGTGTACTTATTAGAATCAATTTTTTAAAAATACATAAAAACTTTTACTTTGACTTCATGGTGGATTCAACCTTAGAATAATTAAGTTTATAGGATGTTAGTAATGGCATTCAAAGCAAATACAGCTAGAAGTAATTTGTGGTGTATTTTATTTCCTGATCTCCAAATTATTTTTATTTGATTATATGATGGTATCTCCCAAATACAGCAAAACTTTTCTAAATGGCATCTTTTAGCATTTTATTTTCAGTACTGAGACTGAGGACTGAACCCAGGACCATGTGCATGGAAGGCAAGTGTTTTATCACTAAGCCACATCACCAATCCTTTTTGGTTTTTTTGTTTGTTTAAATTTTGCAACAGGGTCTTGCTAAGTTACCTAGGCTGGCCTCAAACTTACCTTAGCTTTCTGAGTAGCTGGGATTACAGGTGTGCACTACCCTGCCATCTAGTATTTTTGTTTTTATGAGCTCTTTGCTCTAAAGAGATAAAATAACTACAATCAAAAGCATGGTTTAATATCAATCAAAGCAGCAAAACAGAATTGATATTTATAGAAATCAAATGGTTCATATTAAAATGTTCCATTTTTATCACCAAGCATCCTTTCAACTAAAAACTTCTGGGGGGAAAAAACTGGACATGCCCCTCGTAAAATCAGCACCCATACAATACATGCTCATTATCAGTTTGTGAGTTTAGACCACCAGTTGCCCCTGGTGATGTCTGTATCCAGAAATCCAGGGGTTTCTTCACATTGTCAATAGTGCACATGGTGTGTATTTGTATCAGGTCTGGTATTTCCAATGTGTGCAATGTCCTTTGGGGATTTCTTATCTTGCTGATCTGTAGGAGGTTTGCACTAGTCCAAATGTCAAGACATCTGAATTCTAGTCATAGCTTTGCCACCAAGGAACCACCTCACCTAGGGCATGTTAGCCACTGTCCCAGTCAAATTATTGCTCATGGAGGACTGGTCAGTCTCATGATTCCAGTAAGGTCTATGAGCCTCTGAATGGTACTCTTGAATTGATTTGAAAAGCACTATGCACCTGACTAGAAGACCAATGGATGTTGCTTTTTTTTTAATGAATCTTAAGATAATGATGATCACTGCATCACAATACAGACAAAGAACCCAAAAAGTGACTAAATTTCCTAAGTGCTTTAACATGACAGAGGTAATTACTCTTCTTTTGCAGTCTGCACTTAAAAATTCTTATAGTGATTTTGATTTTTACTTTCGGGGAAAAGAGATAAAACTTTCTCCTAAGGAATTGGAATATGTTTAGAAGACATGACTTGGTTCGATAATATGGAAATCATTGGATTTGTGGTGACTCATATGGATCCCTCCTTTGGTCAGGAGGAAATGAATTACATCATGTTCTTTGCTCATATGCATTTAGTTCCTATTTTGATCATTTGTATATAAATGTACCTTTTTGTTGCTTTTGCTGTACCAGTTAGAATTATATCTCCCATAAAGTATTTCACCTTCCAAATCTGATATGTATACTTTGCCGAGGTTTTTCCAAAGTAAAATATATGTAAATGTCTATTTTGTATAAAATATGATGAAAATAATTATGTCTGGCTTCAATCTCTCAAGTATTCCCTGATTAATTCCCATTGATATCCTTATCACCAGCACATATGTGTTTTAGAAATAAAAAAAAAGTCTTCATTCCTTTCCTCATTCATTCATTTGCTGTTTGTATTATTACACTGTCCTGTGTACCTCTTGTCTGCTCTTGTCCCATACACCATACTGACTCTTTCAGTACTGAGCCATTCCAGATCTCCTCCCCTCATCTTGCTTAGTGAAAAACTCACTTCTTTACAGAGTAAATGAAAGTTACAAAGCTGGTGTTTCCTCAATATCCTGCACTCCATCCACAAATTAACCTGCACCCTCTTGTATCTTTTCCTCTCCCTTGGCTCTGAATTTTGCTTCTTGTGGAATGCTACTGTATCCCTTAACCTCTCTATCATCTTTCCTCCTTTTTCTGGTTCTCGTCAATTCTATCTTAATACATATACATGGGGCTGGGAGGATAATCCCTGAGTTTAATCCCTAGCACAAAAAAACCTGGTAATCACTTTTAAAACTATTTCAAAAAAAAACCTTCAGTTTTTCCATCCATTTCATCTCCAGCTGCTGCTGTATTTCTTTCCTTCACAAACTTTTTGAACAGTAACTCACTCTTGTCCTACCCTAGTGATTATGCCCAAATTAAAGGCAGAGTTCCCATAAGTCAAATCCATTCTGGGGTAGTCCAATCCACTCCCTCCTTGAACTCTTTTGCTTACTAAAGTTATTTTTAAAAGACAACAATTCTTCCATTTAAATGCTTCAACATGACCACAAGTAACTGATGCCCAAACCATCATCACTTTAGCAAATTTCAATGTAATGACCTGGCCACTCTGTATGGATATATTTCTTACCAAGTGGCTCTTTTTCCACTTAAAGAAAGGGCACTATTTTGTAAGTCTATAAGGGATGTATCTACCATAAAAGGACCAGGTCTCACTCAAGACTACAGATTTTGAACTCTGGAAACAAAGAGAGCTATGCTATAGCAAGATGAGACTGCCCAGCTGCATGGAGATTTCCCAGGTGTGAAAGAAACCAAGGAACATCTAAAGCTGTGTGCTCCGTGTGCAGAAGAGTGCAAGGGACAGGGTCTGTGAGCCTCAAGGGAGGCTACCCACAGGACGATCAGCAACTTGAACACTGGGCCCAGCTGTTCTTGCACAACACACCTGCCCTTCTCCCCCACCCCTTTCCCTTTTCATGTACTAAAGACTTTTTGATGATTTTCACTTGATCTCTTGCAGAAAATGATTTTGAATTCATTTGGAGCTCTGAGCTTTCATTGGAAAATAGTGCGTACCTGGAATGAGCATGATGACTTCAGGGAATGCAAAAGTGAGGGATGAGAGCCAGAAGGGCCATTGGTCAGGCAGCCAGCATACCTCAAAGTTTCATGGGCAGTACTCAGGCATGTAGGTTCAGTACTTTATTTCCACAGAAGAGCTTGGTAGCTTACAGACAGCTTACAGGGTTATAGTATAGCCCTCTCCCTATACTATAACCCCTGGCTTCCATGCTTGAAACTCAGGAGTCATCTACCCAAACTGTCCTCCAAGTGACCATTAGAAACTTATAATCACCCTCATCACTATACAAAATACATGTATGAAGATGTGAATTTGGTGTCAACATACCTTATATATAACCAGAGATATGATAAATTATGATATAATGGTGTATTAAGAATTGTAATGCAAAAATAAATATTTTTTTAAAAAAAGAAACATAAAATAAAATGGCACTATTCTCGAGAACAGTACAGTCCAATGAACTTTTCTATGGTGATGGGAATGATATCTCATTGTTCTATAGGTAACCACCATCTACAGGTGGCTATTGAGCATTTGAAATGCAGCACTTAATCTTTGATTTAACTGTAATTAAATAGCCACAGATGGCTAAAGTCCACAATAATGGACAGTACTAGAGCTTTTCAAAATGATATGGTACTTGGAAGATAAAAATCACCGAAATCCCTTCTTGGTTCATGGGACAAGAAAGTTTGAACTTTAAATTCAATTTTGGGAGCTAGTCACATTTTTCAGGCCTTTCACCAAAAGTTGTTTTCTGCAGTTACAGGGGTCATTGTCCCCACTGGGTAAATGTCAACTGCTCATGTGTCTGCATCTGCACTGTCACTATCTTGACAGTCTTCTGTTTTCCAATCTGATGCCTATCTCCCTCGCCTTGTTTACCCACTATCTGAGGGAACTTTTATTTCTGTTTTACATGGAAATGAGACAACTGAGTGTGGGGGGGTAGATGTCCAGGTTAGTTGATGCATAATGTCCACTTAGTCTTGCCCTAATTTTCTCATAAAATATAAGTCCATTACAAATTCTGGCTTTATTCTCCCAATTTCAGGCTTATCATCAAACAATATTTGTGAAAAAAAAAAATACTGACATGATAATCTCACCAATGAGTTAATTTTATTAATTAAATGATGGATTCTACAGCTTTGGCCCATTCTGTTGAAGCTAATAATGAATAATACTGCCAGAAGAAAAGCAATAGCAACATAAACTTCATCTTTTCTATCTGGTAGAAAACTCTTGAAGATCAATAATTTCATCAAGGTTCTTAGAAGGGAAGCACTAATTAAGAGTCAATAGTCTTCCACTGTCTTTCATAAGTGTGCCTCTCTGTGTCTCCTAAGGTGACCAAGGCTCATTTTTAAACACACACACACACACACACACACACACACACACACACACACGCCAGGTTTGGCCTACATTCTCTGTTCTGGGACAGAATTTGTTAGAATGCTCCAGCTAATAATCACCTTCTTCCTCAGTCCAGTTGGTAGTGACCTCTGCAAATATGTGAGAGGCCCTCCTGCCATTGAGACACCTCATGCCTATCTCTAGGACCAGGGGGGTGTGGGAGATACACAGAAACCGAGTGGCCAGAGAGTGGCAACAGCTCAGGATGGAATGATCACGAAGAACACCTGCAAGGCCAGGGACCATGGCAGGTGCAGCCCATTGGTGGGATGGTTGGGAATAAAGAGCAGCAGAGCCTACATTCCTCCCTCTGTTTTCCCATCCTGAGAGGAGAACTCATGAGATCCCCAGCAAGCATGGGGACGCTGGCCAGGGCTGGTTTGCTGCTGTTACTTGCCATTGGCCTCTGCCAAAGCCTGGGTGAGCAGGACCCCTGGACGCAGACACCAGGGCCAAGAATGCTGGGTGGGGACCACTTCACCACTCCTTTCTCTAGTATTTCCCAGTGTTGTGGTTAGTCCTGGGAAGAAAGCAGGTAAGGGAAGGCCCAGATATTCCCAAAGGCAGGCCTGGGCAGGTTTCCTTTTTGAAATGCTTTGGATTCTAGAGTTCTGCTAACCACATTTGTGCTATGGAGTCTCCTCCTCCAAGGAAACACAATCAGGTGGGAGAACTGGAAAGCCCCGTTTCTCTCTTCAGGAGTGGCCTATGTTGTTCCCCAGCAACTTTAATAAAACCTGCATCTATGATGTGCGCATCCTCCCAGAGTGAGCACCAGCCATTCACCAAAAGCAAAGCAGGTTCTTTCCTGCCCCGCCTCCTCCTGTAAAGGTAGTTTGGGCTGAAAGGGCAAGCAGAGAAGTCCTGAGGCAAGACCTAGTGGAGCAGAGATGGCTGTGAACATAACTGAGAAAGGGAATGCCTGCAGCTGAGTGCCATGGGAATGATAGCCAGGGCAGGAAAATCTGGCCGTGCAATTTCAAGGAAGGGAACCCTTAAACAAGGCACTCTGGGTGAGTCCAGAATATGTGTCTATGTCCTTGTACACAGGACTCAAGTATGGAATTCGTGCAGCTGATTGGAAGAGTGAGGAGCCTACTGTGGAATCCAGGTTCTTCTCCGGAATTAGTTGGAGAAATTCAACAGTTGGTGGACAACCCTGGCAGGTCAGAATAACAAAGACGTTGTTTTGTTGTTGTTGTTGTTGTTGTTTTTAATGAGAAAATGGTGAAATATTTCTTTTGTTTCGAGTATCAAGACCCCAGGTGAATGTGTTGTTCTTCTCCTGACACCTTTCTACCTCTCCACCAATAAGTTTACTTCATGGGAATGTATATCCTACTATCCAATTTATATCAGTATTTTAAGAATATCACATCAGATTAGAAGAATTAATTTCAAATGTTTCAAAAGGAGATGGCATCAATGGGGAGATATATATTATGTTCCTAACTTTCTCCTTGGGCAGGTCTCCCTAAAATTGGGTGAGCGCCACATCTGTGGAGGAAGTTTGATTGAAGATGATAGGGTTGTCACGGCAGCACACTGCCTGAGTAGTCTTGATGGGTAAGTTGTGATTTCTGATACTTGTCAAACCCTGATTCATGGCTACAGTACTGGGAAATGAGATGCTCATGTATCATGTAGGGTTGATATACCTCGGTCCCCTTCTTCACTCTGCCACATTTCTACTCAACCTCTGATCGTCCTCATTCCTAGAAACTTATCTCTGCTTCAAGATGTCCTGTGCTTTCTGCTCTGCTACACAGAGATGCCCTCAAAGATCTCAAACATCTATGATTTAGACTTGTGGATTTAGTGGTTGGCTAAGGGTGGTGGTTAATTGTTAACATCAAATGTTAAATGGATGTTCCAAAGTTTCAATAACCTAGGTTTAAATCATTAGGAGTGAAAACTACTGCAGAAATAATAAATACTTGGTTAAAAGAAGATACAAATAGGAAAAAGGGGCAGTGCTGGGAAGCCACTTTGATATCTTATTAAAAACAGTGCAGCATGTATAGACTGGCTTGTCTACAAATGAAGAAAAGTAGAAAACTTTTAAATAATCAGAATTGATGGCAGTAAATGAAAGTGTTCACAAGAATGCAAACACTCCATGACTGAAAACCACTTATGTTTAATAGATCCAAAAATTAGGAATGTATGACAGTAGTAACCAATAATGAGTGCCTTCTTTCAAGACTCAGAAATGCTTAAAGCCTTAATAATCCCTTTTCATTTAATCATATGAAACCCGGGGGGAAATAATTATTGAAACATTTTTCTCTGGTTTTAGGAAGCAACTGAAGAATCTAACTGTGACGGCTGGGGAGTACAACCTACTTCAGAAAGAAAAGCAAGAGCAGAATATTCCAGTCTTAAAAATTGTTATTCACCCTGAATTCAACAGGCTTGGATATATGAGTTTTGATATTGCACTGCTATATCTAAAACACAAAGTCAAGTTTGGTAAGTATTTAAAGGTTTTTAACTATCAAAAATACAATGGGGAAAACTTAAGTACAAGTTCAATTTTTGTAAATACGTCTAGTAATAGAATAGTAATAGAAGTAAGCTTTGTTCTCTTTTAAAAGTTTTATTCAGTCTAGTGCCTATGAAACAATAAACTACTGTACAATCTGAATCCCAGCCACAAGATATGTATGCTCAGCTTCTCAGTAGMATTCTAAGTACTGCAGTATCTTTGAATAAGCTGTACTCAACATCAGTTCTAACCATGGTACTTTTGGTACTAAATATGTAACACACTATTAGCACAAGTATTAAGCCTTCTGAATAAAATACTAAAACCCTTGCTATTTTTAATGCAAGAAAAGGCAGGGATGTGGCCAAAATGAATGAAAACAAATCTAGAGGAGTAGCCAGTCATTGAAGCAAGCTTCTGTTCTTAGGCATCTAATTGATCTTTAAGATCCTAGGGGTTTACCTGGCCATGAATGTAGCTGCAAAGAACCTGGGACATTCTGAAAGGTGATGCTTTGGTGGATTGAGAAAAATATGCCATAGAAAGTGGAATCTTACTTGTTTGAACCTTGGCCCTAAACATAGAGTTCTAGGAATCTACAATCATGAACCAACCCTTATTCAGCTTCAGGGCTGAAATTGACATTACCTGTGTGGCTCAGGCCCTCCAAGCCAAGATTTTAGTTTAAAATGGTTCCAGGTGAGTTAAATGGGGTTTTCTGGCAGAAGCAACAGTAAATTCTCTCTGAAAACATGAGCCTCAAATTCTAGCTTCAGTATAAAGTTTTAATGAATATGAACACACAAATATCAGAGAAATCAGCCAAAGATGAAGTTAGAAAAACTAACCACCAGAATCAGACCTTCAAAAATTACATATGTCAAAATGAGGTGGAGAATACAAAACAAGCATGTTTTACTTAAAGAGGCAAAAGTATATCAAAATTATAAAGAACAAAATACAATTAGGTGGAAGGATTTGAAAGGAACCAATAAAGAAGTATAAAATAATATAATGAAATTTAAAACTCAATAGAAGTATTGTCTACCGGATCAAATTAGATATAGGGAACTACAAGTTCTGAAATGGTTATCCAAATGAAAGTGAGGCATAGAGAAGATGAACTGAAAGATACAGTATATATCCAATTTGAGCTTTATAAAGAGCATGAATAAGCCAGATGTGGTGGAACACACCTATAATGCAAGTGACTCAGGAGGCTGAGGCAGGAGATTAACAAGTTTGAGGCCAGCCTCAGCAATTTAGTGAGGATTTTAGCAACTTATGGAGATCCTGTATCAAAATAAAAATTTTTAAAAGGGCAGAGGATTTACTCAGTGGAAAAACACTCCTGGATTCAATCCCCAGTACCAAAAAAAAAAAATGTTTTAAAAAGGAGGCAAATCCTTATTCTGGGCACAGTGGTATACACCTATAAATCCCAGTGGCTTGGGAGGCTGAGGCAGGAGGATTTCAAGATAAAGGCCAGCCTTAGCATCTTAGGCCCTAAGCAACTACTGGGTTCAATCCTTGGCCCTGAATAATTATGGAGAAGATATAATTTAATAGAAAGTGGCTGAGGGTTAATCGTAACTTAGACATTTATCTTTAGGTTTTATAAAGCACAGTAAGTCCAACCATGATACTAAAAATAATTTTATTTATAGACTTGTCATGCTGAAAATGTAGGACACTAAAATAGAGTGAATCTCAAAAGAATCTAGAGGGGGTCGAGGGGGAATAGTAAAGCAAACTACTGATAAAAAGGGGAGACAATTAGGCTGCAGCTGACCTCTCAACAGGAATGATGAAAGTCAGAAGATAGGAGACCAAGGTCACCAAGCTGGTGTCATCAAGCTAGAATGATCTATCAAGGGAAATCATCACCCCACTTCTTATAGAAAACTATCAAGAGTCATCTAGGCTAAATATGCCAGTTTCCTCTCAGTTCTCTGTAATAGGTTGGAAACATCTACTGGACGTTCAAGTCCCTCAGACTCACTCCACCAACTTCACCCCTGTCATTGTCACCATAATCTCTACCTGAGAGCTTAGAAGATTCACTCTAAATTCTTGTCTTTCTTGATAAGAGTTTTGATCAGTGCTGCTCATACTAGAAATATCTTCTTACCTTATATTCAAGGAATTGCTGGGTTTTCCTCCACCCCTTTATACCCTTTCTTAGTCTTCTGTGATGATTCCTCATCCCTTTGTCTTGTGTTGTTGCAGTCCCCAGGGTTCAGCCCTGGACGTCTTCTCAGTCTGTCCTCATTCTCTTGGTGATCTTATCCAGGATCATAGCTTTAACCCCCTAGATCCTGGATGGATGGAGATACATACATACACACACACAAATATATCTATAAAATGTATAATAATATATAATTTATATAATATATAATATGAAATGGAATATATATAATGTATGCTAATGTAGAATAATTATATATATAATCTAGGTTTTTTATTATCTTTTTTGCATTATCCTTCTAGAATTGATGAGATGTACATAACCAACTGGTTAGGGTCATCTACCTAGACAGCTAATCCACATCTCAATATGTTTAAAGCAACCCTAATTATCCCCTCACATAGACTCTTCCCACAGCTACTTTCATCTTGGTTAGTGACTACTCCATCTTTTCATTGTTTAAGCTAAAAATTTTGGACTTGTCTTGGATTTTTCTTTCATCCCTGATTGTTTTTCTAATGCACCAAAAATCCTGTTGCTTCTGCCTTCTTCACTTCACTCAACTATCTTATCCAGGCTGTGCGATCATTTCTTGCCAGGGTTAATTTTTAAAATCTCTTAAAGTATCAGGTTTCTTCTTTTGCTTCCCTAATATTTATTATTAACCCAGCAGCTGGAATAATTCTTTTAAACATGTAAATCAGATTATGTCACTCTGCTCAAAACACTTCAGTGGTTCCCCAATAATATCTCCTCCACCCCTCCCCCTCCCTCCCCCCCATTAGAATCTAAGCCCAATTGTGTTCATCTTCTGTTAAAGTTCCTTTTGCTCAATATGCTCCAGCCATCCTGGCTTCTCCATTCTTCCCAAATAGGTGTGCCAAGGTCTCACAAAAGAGATTTTCTACACTGTCTTCAGCAAATGCTTTCTGCCCAGAGAACTGAATGATTCCTTCCCTCAACTTCAAGACCTTTCTCAAATGTCACCAGYGCCATGAGACTTACCATGCCCACAATTCATAAAACTATAGCCCCCATGCCGTCCATCCTCCCCAAATTTCTTCCTCCACCTACTGATTTTCCCCAGAGCACTTAAAATAGTTTGTTTGTACCTCCCCCCACCCATTTCTCTCTTCCTCCCTCCCTCCCTCCCCCCCTCTCTTTCTCCTATAAACTCCACAAGGGGTTGGGGAGAGGATTTTCCTATTCATTCATTGAAGTTTGGAAGAGTGCTTGCCACATGTTGGTGCTCAATAACTATTAAATGAAAATATCAGAATTGAGAGTATACACTTGAAATTTGAGTAGTTTGGGGGGGTGGGGCTCATGGTGGTTATGCAGAACAGTGAATTAGATTTTTTTCCTTGATTTATTTTTTCTGCATTTTCTTCTCTTATAATTATGAAGTGACATTTAGGAAACAGTGACATTTATAAAAATATGAAATCCATGAAATCAAACACATGTTACTTTTCCAAATATAGTTGGTGTCATTTGTCTATTCACAAACCTCGTGATTTTTGTTGTTTCAGGAATTGCTGTTCAGCCAATCTGTCTTCCACACAGAGATGATCGATTTGAAGCAGGAATTCTTTGCATGGCCAGTGGATGGGGCAAGATTACAGAGAGTAAGAGGCATCAAAAAATGCACACTACTTTCTCCAGGTCTCTGTATACACAGAGAAAGCAGAAGTGATTTTTGTTGACCATGAATGATTCATCCTTTTGTTTTCCTGTCTAATTTCTGACCCAGTGAAGAGTTCTAGTAGTCTTCAGCATAGACATCTCACACTTAGGAAAAAACCTATTCCTATCACTCCTGCTGCTGTCGTTTTGCTTAGGTACATCAGATAAAGGAAGCTGGAGGTATGAAGAATATAAAGAAGAATATAGTAGGAATGGAGCTGTGGCTCAGTGGTTGAGCTTGCCTAGCATGTGTGAAGCACTGATTTGATCCTTAGTACCACATTTAAAAAGAAAACAGAAACAAAATTTTAAAAAAGGCATTCTGTCTATCTACAACTACCAAAAAAATTTTTTTAGAAGAATATGATAAAAGAGTAATCAGGAAATAGAATCAGTAAGTTTCCTTGATTTTATTTGTATTTGTATTTTTTTGATTTTTGTTTTTATAAATTTTTAAATTTTTTTAGTTGTCAATAGACCTTTGTTTTATTCATTTATATGCAGTGCTGAGAATCCAACCCAGTGCCTCGCACATGCTAGGCTTGTGCCACTGCCACTGAGTCACAATCCAAGCCCCAGCTTCCTTGTTTTTAATATCATGACCTTTTATAAAGTGCAGCTGAAAGAACAGCAAAAGGGTCACTTCCAGAGGCTTGGGAGATGGTAGAAATGGGGAAATATTGGGCAAAGAGTACAATTATATGATAAGTTATGGAGACCTAATGCATGATATGGTGCCTATAGGCAATAATTATTGTACACTTGGAATTTGCTAGGAGAACAAATCTTGGGTATTTTCACTATAAGAAAAAAGATAATTGTGCTATCATGTTTTTGGATGTCATCTCACAATTATACATTTATCAAAACATCACATTATACACTTTGAATATGAATAATACTTATTTGTCAATTGTATGTCAACACAGCTTAAAATTATGATTTTTTAAAACAGACTTTTATGAAACATTGCCTTATTGACTCTAGTTTTCCTCTTGGGGAAACATTTAAGCATATTGTTAAGAAAAGCCAATTGCCTGTAACCTGAAATCTGAATTTCTTAATGATGTCCATTATCACATATCTGACCTTGAAACATAATTCACACCAAAAACAAACAACAAAAAATGCATCTTCTACATTGGCTTAAAATCTATTTGAGAGAGTTTTAAATGTGAGGGCTACTCACTAATTTGCTTTAACGGGGACAGTTGTTGACTATCTGTCAGTTTTCTCTCTATAGATTCTGAGTATTCAAATGTCTTACAAGAAGGGGAACTTTCCATCATGGATGACAGAATGTGTAATTCTGTGCTGAAGAGTATGAACCTTCCTCCTCTGAGAAGGACCCTGCTGTGTGCCAGTTTTCCTGAGCAGGGAAAGGATGCCTGCCAGGTACCAAAGTATAAACCAGCTAGTTATTTAGTAAAGTGGGTTAAAGTGGTTTCTGCCTTTGCCCATGACTGCTTTGGGGAGTTACTACTTCTAAGTTCCTTTTCCCCTCATCTTTCCATCTGGCTTCTATTGAAAAATGTGCTTGGTCTGAACTGAGAGAATTCTTTCCTGTGCCCATTTCTACACAGTATTTTGGTGAGCTGGGACAGGGGTTATTTTCAGTGTTTCCAATCTAATGGAATCAAAATGATAATCTTTTATAAATCCAGCTGGGAATTATTTTTTATTTCACATTTCATTAAACACTATAATATTTTTTTTTCCTTTAGTGCAAAATATGTTTGAAAAAAGATGAATAGTTTTAGTAACTGGGTTGAATAGATGTCATGAGAGCCACTTTCCAAGACTAACAACAACTTCACAAATAATAACTTCACAATCTCTGAGGTGCCTAGAGAGGAAAGGGACTGATTTGTAAAAGACATGAGTCAAGTTTTAAATATGCTTTCCAAGTACATTATCTTCTCTCTTTCTTTCTTCCTTTCTTTCTTCCTTCCTTTCTTTCTTCCTTCCTTTCTCCCTCCCTCCCTCCCTTTCTTTCTTTCTTTCTTTCTTCCTTTCTTTCTCTCTCTCTCTCTCTCTCTCTCTCTCTCTCTCTCTCTTTCTTTCTTTCTTTCTTTCTTTCTTTCTTTCTTTCTTTATCAGACTCATTATTCTTTTTCAGAAAGCAACCTGAAACTCTTGTGGGAAGCTCCCTGGAGTTTACCATTAAAGAAATTTGAAATTTTTTTTCCAAGGATATGACAGGTGTCTGGGAGAGAGGAAGCTAGAAACTTATAGTTGTGCCACTTTCTAAACTGGATCACAAGTAGGCTGAAGGTACTCTGTCCCTTCTGTAACTGCTAGAGGAACTCCTTATTTTTTCTTTTCTGTGAAGCACTCTAACAATCCTGTACCTTTTGAGGAGAGTTTAATCTGACACAAGATTGGCCGAGACACGTACTCAAAGAAACATGTACTGAAATGTTATTGAAGATGGACTACTGAAATCTTGGGTTCTTTACTCTCTAGCATGGAAGCCATTGTGGTCTTTTACGTACATACCTGGGACAAATTTGAGCTTCCCAGGCTTTCTGTTCTTAAAGTCCCTCAGGGCTCTGTTCACTGGTGTTGTGGGCTTGGAAGAGGATTTATCCTTTCCCATCTGCTGTAGGTGACAAGGCACAGTAGAAGCATACAACTGTAACCACATTGCCCCCGCCTCCTCCTTTTACTCATTTTTGGAATGTATGTGGTAGTTCTGAGAGAGAGAGAGAGAGAGAGAGAGAGAGAGAAGGAAAGAAAGGAAAGAAAGGAAAGAAAGGAAAGAAAGGAAAGAAAGGAAAGAAAGGAAAGAAAGGAAAGAAAGGAAAGAAAGGAAAGAAAGGAAAGAAAGAAAGAAATTGAGTACTGGCTTGACAAGATTGCAGCCAGTCAGTGAAAGGATATTAAATCTGGGTGAGAAGATGAAATTAACAATGAGGAAATGGATGATCAAAATCAACATGTTGATGGACAGTGAGTGACTTTTGGACTTCTGGGCTTCTACCTCTTTGAGATGAGTGCCAATTATCACTGACATGATAATTTAAGTTGTGAATATTTTCAGTTTTTCTTTCTTTCCTACACAAGGGAGACACTGGAGGCCCACTGGCTTGTAGAAGACCTGGTGGAATCTGGACTCTGGCTGGGATAACTTCCTGGGTAGCTGGTTGTGAAAGAGGTTCGGCTTCTCCAAAAAATTACCACACAAGGGCATTACCTGGCATTTTTTCCAAGGTGTTTGAGTTGATGGATTTTATCACTCAAAACATGATCACAGGTGAGTAAAATTTTCTTCCTCCTTTCATTCCAAGTCAAAAACTGATCATGTTTATCTCAAGAGTAGTTACTTTGATATGTTGTGATATTATCAGAGAAAAGCTTTAGTACAAAGCAAGAATGACTTATTTTAAATTCTTAGTCCAATGTCTGTAATATTTTGTCTCAGAATTCTTGAGCATCGATAGCTATCAGTTTAACTTAAACTGAATCCCTGTATAAAATTTTTATGAGCTATCTTTTTGCATTTGAGATTTTAAAGACAGCCCTTGACAATAGACTCAGCAGATTCTTTCTTCTTTGATTCATTTGACACGTGTCCTCTACAACACATAAAAACACAAAAAATGGATCCCTTCTCTCCCCCCTTCTCCCATTCAGCCTTGTTAATTTTCCTTGGAAAACTGGGGGAAATGAGGAATACTTTGAGAGTTTATTTTGTTCAGTGACACTAAAATCTAGACTAGGAAAATACGGGTCTGGAGAGCAAAGCCTGTCCTCTAGGAACTTTCTAACTACTTGGGAAGGAAAAAATATTGTGATGAAAGGTGAAGTGCAGATAGACCTGGATGAAAGGTGAAGCTGTAAGTGTGCTGAGAAGGAGAGGGTCTTGGCGTCTCAGAGGCCAGAAGGTTCACAGAAAATGGTACAAGGCACTGCAGAGCACAACTTCCTGGAACACAGTTTAGTCAAGGAAGCAAATGTTTAAGGCCCAAGATTCAAAGCAGCAAAAGCTCACATTCCCTCCATCTGTCTGTCCCTCCTTTGTTGCTGTCCAAGGTTAGCCACCTAGTTGAAGGCTTGACGTGAGCTGTTTGTTGGCCCAGCTTCAGGCCAGCACTCCCTCAGACCAGGAGGACTCCCCGCTCACTTCATCTGCCTTTAGTGTCTTGCACACTGTCCACTGCCCTACCGCAGGGTCAGGTCCCTCCTGGTAGTGATTGTTCCACTTTGACCACCTGGAAGAGAAAGCTAAAAAGGTTAATGACCCCTGAACAAAGAATTAGTAACAGCAATAGAATTTTAAAGGGCAATGAAATTGGACAATAACAGTTAATTTCACTAATGAACATCAGAATGTGATAAGTAATTTATTTAAGTAACACGTTCTTAAGATCATCTTTCTAGGTTTTTCATCTCCTTTATGTTCTAATTGCCTATTTTATTCAAGCTCTTCTCTGAACCACCTCACGTAACTGACTATTTTAGAAATAGGATTAAATTTAGGCTTCTACAATCTTAAAAATCAAATTAATTGAATCTTTCATATTTTCAAACCATCAGATCAAATTGGTTTCTGCTTCCATGTTGTCTTTCAATCTTCTTAAAAGACATAATAGGCCACTGACTCTGAGCAAAGTTCTCCTCTACATTGGTTTTAAGTAGAAATCATAATGTGTAATTTTTTAAAGTCACATTATCACAATTTTCACTGAAATAATTGTTAGTAAAGGTATTCTTCTACCATCTATATATTTGGACTGGGGTCAATCTTTTTCAGAAGTGAGTCCAAGGTGTGTTAAAAAAAAAGGGGGGGCCTGAATTCTGTCCAAGGTGTGGATAGGAGACAGAGACAAGAGAGCGTGCATAGTTCTAATGATCTAGATAGGAAATGGAATTGGGGAAAATCATTAGAAGAAAGCAAATGCAATCATATCATATTCATAATTGAAATTTACTTCCATTTCTAAACTTTAAATGCCTCAATGGTTTTATATAGAGTGCTTCCAACAGTTAAAACCTGACATTTGCATCTCAATTTTGAGTAAATGAATTTTGAGTAAATGCCATTACTAAAAGCTGCATGTATTTGTACAGTGTTACTTTACTGTTACCTGGAACATCCTAGAAGAGATACCTAGGATATTCTAGAAGAGATAGGTGAAAACCATATTAGTCTCATATAATATAAATTTGACAGCCTCAGTGTGACTCATGATTTGAGAAAATTGTATAAGTTTTGAATCTGAAGAACTCTGTTAAAGAACATATATTCAAAAATTTTATTAAAGACTGTTTATAATATGATGTCTAGATTATATCCATTAAGGACATGTTTTCCTAAATATAACTAATATAAATTGTATCGCTTCAGGATGAGATCTATACACTTTTGAAATGTTGTCCAGAAAATAATCCACTTCTTTTACATTTTCTTAAAGATTGTAAACCTCAGAGAATAGTATTATTTGGAGAGAGTGGGGAGATTCAATACCCCTATTCCAAAGAAGACAACTATTCTCATAATAGGTATGTATCTTAAGTATGAATGATTCTTGGGTTTTCCTCCTCACATAAAATAAGACAATTTTATTCTTTTTAGGTTTTTATTCTTTTTAGATATACATGGCAGTATAGTATATTTTGATATATTTATACAAACATGGAGTATATCTTATTCTAATTGGGAACCTCTTGTTGTACATGTCACAATTCATTAATTTAAATGACTATATTTTGGCAAGTTTGTCTAGCATCTCCAATTATTTATCTGATTATATTAAAAGTATACATTTCATCTATTGTTTTCTGGTTGGCAAATATCTACTAATTGGCATTTTAGAGTCATTAATATAAATTGTCACCCCAAATAGTGTTAAGACCAAAACTTGCCTGAACTGATGAGTTCAAACATCGAATATTAAAATCATCTGGTGTGAGATTGCTATGCAAACTTAGTGATTAATCCTGGCATGCCTATTTCTTTAATCATAGTAATATTTTAAGTATCACCTAGAAAATGGAACATAGTTTGGTATGTAAGTGGCAGTATATGTCAATTTTATTTTTCCCTACCTGTCTTGTTCGTCTATATGGATAAGGATGTCTTTAAACTTTAGAAATCAATTCTTTGCATGTATCTCATTTTCTTAAGTGACCTAAATTTATTTTTAAAATTGTATGATGTTTTGTAGAGTATACAAAGGTAGATGACAGTTCTATGCATTTATAATCTGGTAGGAAGAGAAAGCTTGACAAAAACTACACTACACTTAAAAAAAGGGATAAAATAAGCTTTTATACTTATTCATAGTGTGCCATAAATAAGTTGGTCCTATGAACAATGGAGGCTGATTTTTCAGGGTGTGTTTTGCAAGGAGTGTGTGTGCAGAGTGGGATGGGAAAGAATGCCTTAGTTGTAAGGGGTGGCATTGAAACTAGATGTTAAAGAATAGCTGTGGTTCTATAGCTGTGAGGTCCTTTGTAGATCTAAGACCTAAGACTTCAAGAGATGGACACAAGGAGTGAGGTCTTCTCAAGTAAAGAAAATTTTGTATAAGCAATGTCAAGGAGGTGGGAAAGGTCAGGGTTGTTTGGGTTATGATTATCCTAGTGTGACTGAGAGCCACATGAATGGGAACTGGGGTAGCAGGAGATGAGGATTGAAGTACTGGTCAGGACTTAATTATACAAGAACTTAAATTCTGTGCAAAGGAAGTTTAGACTTATGCCAGAGGCCATGGGAGATTAAAATGATGAAATGTGTCTTAATTTTTGAAAATTATACTCCTAAAAGTATTTACACATAGAATGGGTAAAATGTGGCTTAACTGCTGCCCACATTTAAAAGGCTTAAAGGTCTAAAATGACTTTTTCCTGAGTCATCCTTGAGATGAGAAGAGGCCAGTAAGTTTTTGCTATCTGTGCTTAAACTATTGGAAGAGTAATTTCTAAGAACAAGAGAGAGTTCTATTTTATTAGAATCTCAGACAAGGCTTCTAGGTACCCTCTTTAAACAGGGACATTAATAAGCTAGAATTCATCAGAAGGATAATAACTGATATGTAATATTTTGTGTCTGGTGTTGGAGATTGAACCCAAGGGCTTGTGCATGCTAGGCAAGTTTTCTACCACTGAGCTGTACCCCCAATCCCAAGGAAATAAATTTAAAGTGTTTTAAGAGTTATGGTTGAAGAAACTAGAGGTATTTTTGAATCAAAGAAGACAGGAGGAAAAAGGAACTTCCTGATTTATCTGAGAATCTTTAAAAAAAAATTGTACTGACTAACTGCAAAGGATTTCTGGGTAGAAGTCAGAAGATAGATTTTTAACCCAATATTAAGGAGTTTTTAATTTGAGAGAGTGAAGTTTGGTCTGCCTCAGGTGTAATGAATGTCCTTGATAAGCGGGGTATTTGAGCAAGCTATTTGTATATTGGGAAAGAGACACGCAGAGGACAGTCCACGTGCTCTCAAACACAGCAATTCAAGTATTTCAGAGTTCTCTGCAATGGAGTTTCAAGAAAATGTCAAAGTGAGTTCAAAGAAGTGTCATTACCTTGGAAATTTAAAATTTGAAAGCTGAGTCAGCTCTTGACTCGTAGGATCAGAAGGCATATTTTAAGAGATTATTAAAGATTTTCTATCTCAAATAACCATTAGGTTTTTATGAAATCTTACAGTGTACCAGACATTGTTCTAAGTGCTAGAAAGATAGCAGTGAATCAAACACAAACACTGTCTTTGTGTAGGGTAAGTTAGAAGGTGGTAATAGAGTCATAAAAAGAAAATTACCTGGGGCTGGGGTTGGTGGCTCAGAGGTAGACATTCACCTAGCATGCATGAAGCACTGGATTTGATCCTCAGCACCACATAAAAATAAAATAAAGGTACTGTGTCCACCTACAACTAAAAAAAAATACTTTAAAAAACAGTTACCTGTAATAGTAGAAGGTGGAAAATGCTGCACAGAAAAAAATTTATAAGCATGGTAGAGAGTGATGGAGTATGCAAAATTTGAGTGGTTGACCATAAAGATGATACTTGAAAACAGATTTAGAAAAGGGGAGGGAAGGAACACTCCAGGTAGGAGAAGTGGTAGGTGTGAGGCAAGAATACAAGTGGTATTTTTGTGGATCAGCAACAAGACCAGAGAGCTAGAGCTGAGTGAGAAAGGCAGTGGCCAGATTGTTTTGGCCTTATTGGACCTAAAAAGAACTTTGGGTTTTACTGAGATGGAGAACAATTGAAGGGTTTGAGCAGAGGAAAATAGTGTGACATATTTTAAAAGGATCACTTTGGTTATTGTGTTGAAAATGAACTGTAGACAGGAGAGATCAAAAACAATAGTAGTTACTACAGTAGTCCAGATAAGAGATGATGACTTTGACTAGATTTGTAGCAACAGAAGTGGAGACAAGTGATAGAGTCACAGGATTTGGTGAAGAGTTGACAGTTTGGGTTTGGGGAGAGGGAGAGAGTCCTGGTGAATGACTTGGTGTTTTAAACTGGCCTACTGAAAGAATGGAACTTCCACTGTCTGGTGAAGAAGATAGGACAGTGATTTTTAGATAGTAGGGTCAAGAAAAGTGTTTTGTTTGGAGAGATAACTGTATTTATGGGCAGAAGAGAGAGTAAGAGTCAGAAAACATAGAAATGTGAAGCAAGTCTCATGAGAACACAGCAAATAAGTTTGGTTTAGAAAGGAGGAGGAATAAATCCTTTCCTGGTAAAGCAGCAGAAGTTAATCTACAGGAAAGATGAATTGATACCAGATGTCTTAGTAATCGTACAAAATTTCAGTTGCTTCAAGTTTAGAGAATGAAGTTGAGATCAAATAGTAAGGATTATATTTGAGAGTTTATAGGAGTTAGTCAATGTGAATTTGTACTGTAGTTTCAATAAATCTAAGGCAAAATTTTTTTTCAAAATACATTGTTTTATGTACCACCAATACAGAAAACACCATACCCAAGATAGGCCCATATAAATTGAGAAGATGAAAGGATATCCCTTCACTAAATAGCTATAAAAGTATAAACCCACCCATGTGGAAAGTTATGTGCCCCAACCTTGGCCCTGGAAAGGGAGGCGGAAAAATCTTCCCTGAGAATCTGTATCACTAGCTAATATTCATGAAGGTCACAGTTGAAATTACCACCAAAAGTATAGTTCAAGTCATATCAAGCAGAAAAACTTGGCAGTACAGAGTTGATAGAACCTCCAGGTGATTGACAGAAGTCAATGTAAGTCCTTCCTGGAAGAACTTTCAGTCCAACCCTAGGGAAATTCTAAGACTTTGTTGTACAGAAGCATTATGATTTCAAAATGTTAAAATATAAAAAGACGTGTCTTGAAAATAAGGTATAAGACCAATTTGCATAGTTAGTGACTTTTCTAGTATGCTAAGCAGGATTGAATTGTGAAATGGTCTTGTAAATTCCAAATGGCACTAATTAGGAAATGGTTAAAAAAAAAAAAAAAAAAAAGAGGAGGAGGAGCAGTTGTATATTCCCTTCAAGCCTGTCTTTATTCTGATAGGAGATAGCTAGAATTTCAGAAATGGCAGAGAGATGGCACCCAGATTTTCCTCTTTCCTCCATACCCATGGCAGACTTTGCATTTCTCAGAGCCTAGGACACTGTCTATCTATCATAATTGATGATTGATAGATGATGTTTGAGTGAATATATTGATGATTTTGGCATTTCTCTCTTGCTTGACCTCAGAATCCTCCTAAATACAGCAGTTGCTGATAGTAAATCAAGGATGGCATGTTATTTGAACCCTATTTTCCATCTAAGACATTTTGAGGCAGAAAATAATTTGAAAACAGGAGAAAGTACTGGTCCTTTGAAGTCATGACACCTGAACTATAGCTCCTATTATATAAGAGATTCAATGAGTCTTTTAGTATCAATGCCAGTTTTCTCATTTGAAATAGGGATAGTAATTTCTCTCCTGTGTTCTCAGAGGGTTATAATGAGTCTCAAAAAGGATGATAGATGCCCAGTGCTTTTTCAATTGAAGAGCTTAGAAAAGCGAGCTTTATAATATTTTAGGTAGCTTATTGCTTTTTAAATGGAAGTTCTTAAAAAGTGATTTTAATACTATTTTAGGTTACCTATTTTTATATCTATATTCAGAATGATGGATTTGAATAGAAAGATTAATTTGAAGAGTTTCTGGTTAAGAGGAAGTTGTTTGGCAAGAAGAATTATCATTGTCTGGCTTTTAGAAATTGGGCATAAAAGAACTCGATTGCTCCTACAGTCCTGAACATTTATTACCTAGAGAGCAGTGGGCTATTAACGTCTAAGGTTGTTGATGAAGACTGCCACACTTCAGAAAGAAGTTCATTCTGACATGTTAGATTCCAAATAATTTTGCATTCAGATGAATGTGACATATGGAAGAAGTTGAGATTTGTGGTTAAATGGGATTTTTTTCTTAAATAGTATAAATTCATATGAGGAAAATAAAGGTGAAGTGTTATGTGATAGATTATGTAAGGCTACTTTGAAAATGTTTAGACATGTTTCTAAAGATGTTAGTGAAAGGTCACATCTGACCTGATTTGGGAATTAGATGACATTACAACCCTGGGGACTGACTTAGCATGACCTGATTTGGCTGGTTAGAGGTAACATGTGCTGCACAGTTAACCCATAATTCATGAGAATTCATTGTCCATAGTTCAACTTCTAGGTGAATATTATGAATTTTAACTAGACTAATGATGACCTGGAAAAATCTGAGAAGTTTTCTTCAGTTTATAGATGAAAATTCTAGCACTTTTTAACTAAATAAAATTTAAACATTGGTTTCTGGCCATTTCCTAATTAGTACTCATGTATTTGTTGGAGAAATGTTAGCAATTTGGTCATAAACATATTTCTGCCATATAAGGAATTTATTGTTTTTTTGCATTCTAATATTCTGCAAAATTTTACTATTGGTAAAGTGTAAACTAATGCGTGAAACTTAGATCTTATTTTCAAACTTGCATTAATTTTATTTTTTTTCCTGCTCTTACCCCAGTTTATGTGTCTGGAAAATAATGGTACCAGAAGATAAAATTATCCTGATAAAATTTACAAGCCTAGATATAGAAAATCGAGCTGGATGTGATCATGACTACATATATTTACAATCAAGTGATGGAGCAATTATTAGTATGTTACTTATAATTTTAGAGTACTTTAAAAAAGAGAAATGCTATAGCTCAAGTGAGATTTCTGCACCTGGGATAATTGTTTTATATTACATACTGTGCTCTTCTAAAAGGGATGGGTACGGGAGGTTGTAAGAATATAAACAATAGCATATTATCTGATCATTTTCTTCATTGTTTTTCTAAATCAGACACCAAATATCTCATTCCTTTCTCAAGTTTAATAACAGTACTGAATAAAATTGATGTCACAATTGCCAGAAAACCTCCATTTCAAGGAAAGGTTAATATTTTCATTTTTAATCACAAAAGTGGGTATATGTTTAGTAAATTTGGTATATAAAGATGAGCATAAAGGAAAAAATATAACCCATTCACAAACGTACCACTAAGAGATGGCGGTGCTGGGGAGCAAACCCAGGGCCTTATACATGCTGGGCAAATGCTCTACCACTGAACAACAGTCCTGGCTCTTACTGTTAACATTTTTGTGGATATCTGTTTACATACACAAACTTTGAACTCTACTGTACAATTCTTTAATAATTTAAAGACACAATAGGTCATTTCAGCCACTTAACTTTGTTAGATTCCTCTTACAAGCTATAGAAACATAATTGACCTCTGATTGAAATGTGTTAAGCATAGAAGGGTCTCCCCAGCTGATACAGACCTTCATCTCTACATCTCCTCCATGAGACCAATGACAAGACAAATGTCTCTTCACAAATTTTGACATAGAAAAGATAGTGTTCTAGGGGTTATAATATTTATTGACTAATCATTTTATATTTAAATCTATTTAGCAATCATTCTTGCTTAAAGTCGGGTATGTACGAGATATCACAAGCTGAACATATAGAGAATTAGTCTCAAGCTTGTGGCTTGAGGTCACTGAAGGTATCCCACACAGCAGGAAAAGCTGCAGAATACAGAATGTGCTAAAGTGATCCAGGGAAAGGTCCCTTGGTTTTCAGCGAGTGTACAGGAAAGTTTATAAGAGAACTGGACCTTGAATAAGGTCCTAAAGGGACTTGAGACTGGGAGCCAGAAGATAGGTGAAATAGAATCATTGAAGCAGAGACTGTGGCAAGATTAAAGAAGAACTCATGGGAGATATTACCAGAAAAATAACTGTGTATAACTTTGCACTACATTTCAGTAATATTCTTTCAATTTCTTTTCCTCTCAAGGTAAGGTCTGTGGAGATATCTTGCCCTCACCCTTGCTGATGGAGACCAACCAGGCCATAGTCACATTTGTTTCTGATGCAGAAAACAGTGGCAGTGGCTTTGAACTTTGCTTTTCTGCTGTACAGAACTCAGGAACAGGTAAGGATTTCAGGTGTCCATTCCCTGCTGTCTCTGAATGGAGATGACAAGCAGAAGTGCCTTTTGCCATTCATTGTGGATTCTCCCTACATCTGCATAGGTTCAGGTTGTGAGAGTGTGGCTGAATTGGTAGAGGAAGGGACAATTCAGTCTGCTAACTATCCTCGCTTGCCCAATAATGTCTAGTATTATTGGTTTATTCATGCTCCAAAGAAACACATCATAAAAGTAAGCAATTGAGGAATTGCTACTTTATAGAAAACTTAGCTACTATGCTAGGTAGGCAGAACTTACTTCGTATGGATTGTTAAGATATCGTTATGGCTAGAAGTTTCTTTTTGCCACTTTTTTTTTTTTTTACTCTAAAAGGGTTCTGTATGTGACTTTAAAAATGCAGTAGTTTAAAAGTGTACACAATGCAAAATAAGGCTTTTTATCAGACTTTTTTCCTACATATGGAGTAAAACATCCATGTTATTGCAGATCTCAGGGGAGGTATTCTGAGCATAAGCATCTAAGTTACTTGGCAATGCTTTGTTCACTGAACAGTACCTCAAAGAACTTTTCAAATGAGCCTACAGAGTTCTTCTTAAAAACTACATAAAATATTGTGTAATGTTACCTGACTTATTAAATCAGTTTCCTATTAGCAGAGGTTTGAGTTTCCAGTTGTTGTCCATAGAAGCAATGCAGAGATCCTTTTAATGTGCAGAGAGAAACCTCTTAAACTTTTTTCTTTTTGACCACTTCTCTGGTTATGTTTATAATTTGTACAGTTGACATTTGAGGACTTTAAAGTTGAATTTAACCAAAATTGTATTTATGATTCCATTGTGATTTATGATGATCCTGAAGAAAAACACAAGTTAGGTAGTTAACATCCCATCCTCTAAATTCAATTTGAGAAGCATCAGACTCATCAGGGTGGCTGTGGCATTGACTGAAACTGAGAGGGAGTGTGGATTTCTTACACTTGAAGCTCCAGGACTCACATGCCAGAAAACTTTAGATTTAAGACCTGTGAACCAGCAGCTGACTCACTAGTAAAGATTTTTAATAGAAACATGAAAAATGTGAAAAATCTTTCAGAATATTTGGAAGGTGAAAAAGAAGTACTCAGAGAAAGGGGAAAATGGTACCAGTGAATAAATTTCTGGTATGTGCAGAAGGTAAAAAATTTAAGTTTTCTTCTTTTTGTATCAATTCCTTCTGTTGCTAATATTTTCATTTGTGTGTCCAAATAACCAAAAACTGGTAATTTCCACTTGGGTCTTAATTTTATTAGCAACTTCAAATATACTTTAAGTTATAACTTTATTTACTTCATATGAAGAATTAACTTTCATCCTATTTGTCCCTCAGTCAGGTGGTAGTGAGTTTGAGACCAGTAATATAAATGGGCTCAGAATATTTACTTGGAATTTAAGAGCAGGTGAGTTGGTAGCACAATCCTATGCTCCAACAGAGCAGTACATGTGTTGTGAGGGTTGGATAAAGCATATTTCTGGTATTGCCTGCTCACATAAAGAATGGCCATATCAGAAGATAATGCTAAGTGAAGTTAGCCAATCCCCCGAAAAAAACAAATGCTGAATGTTTCCTCTGATATAAGGAAGCTGACTCATAGTGGGGAGGGAGGGGGAGCATGGGAGGAATAGATGAATTCTAGAATAGGGCAGAGGGGTGGGAGGGAAAGGGAGGGCACATCGGATTAGCAAGGATGGTGGAATGTGATGGACATCATTATCCAAAGTACATGTATGGAGACACAAATTGGTATCAACATTCTTTATATACAACCAGAGATATGAAAAACTGTGTGTATACATGTAATAAGTATTATAATGCATTCCACTGTCATTTATTTTTTTATATCAATAATAAAAAAAGAATGACCATGTCCTTTGGAAAGAAGAAATGATTTGCTTGGGTGGTTTTATTGTTTATCCAGCTCCTATTGTTCTTTAATAATTGAGTTTTCTGTGTATATTAGAAATCAGATGTCTTCATCCCATATAGTTTTTTTGAGATAAAAAATTTTTTGAGATAATAATTATGATACATTGTTGCTTTGAAAACTAATTTTTAAATTTCTCTGTATATGTGGTTATGCCTACAAACTAAAGTTGGAGAAAACCAAAGTTGCTGACTTAAAAAAATTAGTTGGATGATATTTTGCCTCCTGTGTTCGGATTTTTAAATTTCTTATAACTATAAATCAAATTTCCTTATAACTTTTACAACTAAACTTTGTGGAATCTTGAAATCCATTTCAATATTCAGTTTTGGTAACATGATGGTCATGTATTTCAAAAGTGATGGTGAAAATAATTTCCAAGGCTTCAAGGTTAGAAACACCTTTTTGCTTTCAGGCAAGTATAATCACCTGTGTAATAGGAATTATTGCTTATGAAAATGCTTATAGGGAAGATAATTTAATTGTGATTATCCAAATGTAGGATGCTTGAATCATTTTGGTGGAAGAATAAAAATGCAGAGTCCTGGTTCCATTCCTAGAGATTTATATTGTATAGATCTGGGGTGGAGCCCAGAAATCTATGCCTTAGCAAGCATCTCCCATAATGCTCAAGAAACTGCATCCACTAGAACATTTCAAAAGATGCCAAGTACCATATGCAAAAAACAGAGAATTCAGATTAAAAAATGGAATTCAGAAGTGAGATTGGCTCTATTTTGAAATTTTAGAAGCTTCTGCAGGACTAATAATTTTCTCAATACTTTGGAAGATAAAGTTTACCTAGACAAAAGGAATATCTTATGCAAAAACTATAATAAAGGAGAATTGATGACTTACAAGAAAACTATATTGTGAAGGGATTATAGAAAAGGCATTAAACTATAAGTACCAGAGTGGTAGAATAGCTAGTGAAGATCTATTGATCACTTCATCGCAGGTATAAACAGTATTTCATACACATCACCAATTTATTCCTCCTTACAAACTTCAAAGATAATATACACTGTTCTCCTTGTACAGACTAGAGAACTGAGGCTTAGAGAAGTTAAATGACTTTTCCAAAGAGCTATGAATAGGTGGAGCTGTTTTTCAAACCTTGGACTCCCTGGTTCCAGAGTAATTTGGAAAATTAAGAAGATGGATGAACTTACATGTAAGAAGTATGGTGGGAAAATCATTGCAAGAGATTTTTCTAATTGTATTGCTTGACCATACATGTTGTGGGGAGAGCATTTATGAAGAAGGAAAAGTCCAGCTTGATTTTTTTCAAGGTTCTAGCTCGAGTGGCTATGGATGGTAGAGCAATTAAATGATGCAGGGACATAAGAACAAGGCCCTATTGACTATTAAAATCAATTAGTTCCATTCATGACATGTAGATGTTTAGAAATTTGTAGGAAATTCTAATGGAGATATCTAGTTATTCTAAGTCAAGAATTCAGGGAAGAGATTTATACTGAAGAGAGAAATTCAGAAATCATCTTTATGTAGATGAGTAAAAAATAGGGTATGGACAGACAGTACCTTGTAGAATATCTTTTCGGGCTGGAAAAAGATATTGAAAAAAAGACTAAAATTAAGAGATGACTTTAAATATTTCAAGAGTAAATATCATGGAGTAAAGGAAGGAAAAGTGCTTAAAAGAGCCACATGCAGGGATATTGAGAGATGAACAAGAAATCACATCTGTGCAACTTGGCATCTGGCATATAAATGGTAGTATTAGTGAGGTCTACAGCAGAGTGGTTTTTGTGATTGATCAGGGTAACAAGGAAGGTCAATTAGTGAAGCTACTCAAAATACTTTAAATTTTTTTCTCTATAGAGTCCTTAAACAAAAATGGACTGACAACACTTCTCAAAACCAATACTATATTTACTGGAAAAGCTATTCCATATGGTGAGTTGGCCATGCTACTATCTGTTTAATCTACTTCTTTGTTAACTAAATGTCTATTTTGGAAATCTTCATCTTTCATTTGATATGCCACAATGAAAAAAAATCAAGTTTTATGTTTAAGTCCTTGAAACTTGTAGAATCCTATTTGAGTTTACATATAGACTCAGAGGGAAAACAAAATAAGATTTGTTTATATAGGGAGAAAGAAGTACAGAGAACAATTCATGGTCCTCATCTACTCCTATACAAACTTATTATTTAAAATGATTTCCTGAGCCAGGTGCAGTGGTGCATGCCTATAATTCCAGTGGCTGGGGAGGCTGAGGCAGGAGGATAACAAGTTCAAAGTGAGCCTCAGCAACTCACCAAAGCCCTAAGCAACTTAGTTAGATGGTGCCTGGCAGAGCAAGCACTGAATAGTTAGGTTTTAAATGAACGAATAATTACTTTCATGTCTAAAATCCTGACTGCCTGGCACAGTTGGCTAAGCAGACTTTTAAGATCAGACTTCTCAGAGATGGGTCTTGGGAGTAAGTATCTTTATAAATCTCATCTGGAGTTTGGGAATTACTGCTGTTAGCTATAGCAAGCCTTTGCAGGAGTGTGTTCATGATTGTTGTCTGGGATGAGCCATTGGTCTCCTCTTCTTTCCTGTAGATATCTGTGGCATCCCTCCATTTAGTCCCCAGTGGCTTTCCAGAAGAATCGCAGGGGGGGAAGAAGCCTGTCCCCACTGTTGGCCCTGGCAGGTGGGTTTGAGGTTTCTAGGTGATCACCAATGTGGAGGTGCCATCATCGATCCAGTTTGGATTCTTACTGCAGCCCACTGTGTACAACCGTGAGTGAAACTGGTGTTTTACTAATCTATTTAACACACGGGTTTATAGGATATGCCTAGGACACAAGTGTGATTGTCTAACTGCTAAGATTATCCAGACTAATTCTAAAGCAGGAATCTTCCTTTAAGTATTTTCTCTGCATAGCCTTCTAGCTTCTATTTAAACAATGTCAGTAAGGATAAAGTTAATCCAATCTTGAATTTTTTTTATCCAATTTATGTAGGTCTGATTATTCATGTTGAGCCAAAACCTGCTTCCCATCACAGAATCTATGGGTCTCAACTTACTGTAACTTCAGAAAACAAGAGTTCTTATTTCTTCCTTTGCATAATGATCCTTCCTGTATGTGAACTTTTCTCGTGTTCTACTTTAGTTTAATCTTTAAGCTAGGAACTCAATTTTATTATTGGTAATAATTCCAGATGCCTTCCCATGCAGTGCACTTTCCCCTGGGTTGGTTTAGGATTATTCCTCTTGAAATTGGTTCATGTCAGCAAGGGCATGATCACTGAATTACCAGAGAGTTATGAACTGTTCTGTGATATGAAAGAGTGAATATAATATATGTGTAGTTTAAATAATAGTTGTTAAATGGAATGGTGGGACCAAAACTGTACATTTCAGAAAGATCTTTGTACTTATCTCTCAAGACCCCTTAAATTTGCTAAATTTTGTATTCATAGTACCTATGTTCTTTTTAAATTTTTACTTAAATTTGTTTTTAACATGTCTGTTTCTAAAACAGTATAATTGTTTTTTGTTTTGATCTTATGTACCATAATTTTATTTATAATCTTTGCAACTTGCTTTTATACTTACCCTGTGTTATGTAGATCAAGCTCTAAGGCATGTGGATATACATAACTGGTTTGTTTTGGCTACTTAAACCAATCACTTGTGGTTAGGTTCTGAATAGCATTATTGAAAATCTTCCTATATGGTTCCACTGTGCAGCCAGGGTCTGGAATCTGTCTTTCTGTCCTGGTCTTAACCATTTCTCTGCTTGCTCACAGTGCACTATGCCCCCTTGATTTTTTGATGGTCAAACATGCTAATCTTGTCTGTTCTTCAATGTCTGGATAGTTGCTCTTCTCTCTGCCATTCAGTATATAACATTATGTTTGTCAGGAATCCTTATGTTTGCCTTGGCTTTAAGTTTCTCAGACTTCCCTTCTTCTTGACAACGTTGGCCATTTGAAGGAGTATTCATCTGGTACTTTGCATAATGTTTTTCAATTGAGTTTGATATTTTTATCATGGTTTTATTGGGAGTTCTGGGGTTTTGAGAGAAAGACTACAGAGTTATAGGCCATTCTTATTGTATCAAGGATACATACTATCAACAGAATTTATTATTAATTTTATTATTAATGTTAACTTCAATCATATAACTAAGGAAATATTCTTCACTGTAAAATTACATTTTCTCCCTTCCCATACTTACTAGTTGGAAGCAAGTCACTAAAAGTTGTCCAGCTCAGGGGGTGGACAGTAAGCTCCACCCCTTTGAGCAGGGAGTATTTAAATCATTTAAGATTCTGCATCAGAGTTATCTCTTTTTTCTCTACTTACTAAATCTTATTTAAATTGCTGTGGACTCAGGGATATCTATTTTATAAATACTACATATTTTGTTGCTCAAATTGTTCCAGATTTGGCCACTGTGAGCTCCTTCATGTTAGCTGTATCTCTTTGTCAGGCTCCTATCTTTATATAACACTATAAGGTGCTCCAGGCTAACCTTGTAAGTTCTCTACTCTGTCCTAAAATCAGCCATTTCTCCAAGGAGCCTTGCTTCATTTTATTGGAGAATGGTATAGGAAAACATGATTTGGGTGCTAGATATATTAGGTGCCACTGGAGTTTTGTTGCTTCTAGATTCTCTCAGTTGACAGAACTAGAAAATAGAAGGATATCTACTATCATGAGTTACAAACACATCTATCCATCTGCATTTATGTTATGCTAATCTGGAATAAGATAACTGTGAGTTTGTTTACAACTCCAACATCACATGGGATTTCTGCTAAGCCTACCCTGTTGGAAATGCCCATTTTATAGTAATTCTCTCAAAATGCATTTTGTGGTACTATGAAAAAGAATCTCCAATAGTAGYTGATTAATTAATTAATCTTAATATATTGGAAAATATAAGTACTAGTATAGAGGCCAGAGACATATAAGCATCTTTAAGTAGGTTCCCTTATCAAATAGAATGGTCTATTCTTGAATTTGTATGCAGGGACATCATATCTTATAGAAAAATAAAGTACATTGCCAAACTATTCTTCTCAAGGTGGACATTAAATCAATTGAGGTCAAATGAACATGGTCACCTGTAAAATTTTGAGCCATTTAAGCCAATCACAAAATGTAGAATGAAACTAGAKTACTATCTCTCATCCTGCACAAAATCAATTCAAAATGAACCTAATACTCAAGAATCACCCAGAAACTACACATCTACTAGAAGAAAACGGGGAAACACTCCAACATATAGACACAGGCAGTGACTTCCTCAATGGGATTCCTAAAGCTCAGGAAATAATAGCCAGAATTAATATATGGTGATGTATCAAATTTCAAAACTTCATGCTCAGCAAAGGAAATAATAATGTGAATGAATGGGAGAAAATCATTCCCATAAACTCTTCCAACAGAGGATTAATATCCATAATATATGTAGAGGACTCAAAAAACTTATCAAAAACAAATAATCCAATGAATAAGTGGGCAAATAAACTATGCAGTCAAATGGCCAAATATATGGAAAAAAAAATTCAACGTCTTTAGTAATCAGGGAAATGCAAATCAAAAGTACACTGAGATTTCATGTTATTCCAGTTAGCATGGCAATCAAGAATATGAATAACAAATGCTTGTGAAGATGCAGGAAAATAGGAACTCTTATACATTGTTTAAGAAAATGTATTAGTACAGCAACTATGGAAATAAGTATAAATATTCATTAAAAGACTAGGAATGGAGACACCATATAATCCAGTTATAAACTCTTGGTATTTATCCAAAAGAATTAAAGTCAGCATACTATAGTGACATATGCATACCCATATATATAGTAGTCAAATTTGCAATAGTTGAGTTATGGAACCAATCTAGGTGTCTGTCAATAGATGATTGACGATAGAAAATGGGGTATATACACACAATGAAATTTTTACCAGGCCCAAAAGAACAAAACTATGTCATTTGCAAGAAAATGGATAACTAGATGGCATCATGTTAGGCCAAAAACAAACAAACAAGAAAAGTTTGACTCAACAAGAGTCATATGTCTTCTCTCATGTGGAATCTAGAGGGAAAATAGGATAAAAGAAATCTTGAGATAATAAAAAGGAAACTAATAGGGTAGAGAAAGTATATCCAGGGGAGGGAGATGGGAAAGACCAGGGGAGGTATGGAAATGAAATTGAATGAATTATATCATGTGCATGTATGAATGTGTCATAATCTCACTGATGAAATTAAATACAAACATTGTGTGATTGACTTAAAGGGCTCAAAAATTTACAGGTGACCATGATTATTTGACCTCAGTTGACTAAGTTGAATGTCCACCGTGAGAAGGATAGTTTTGCAATGTTCTTTATTTTGCTGCAAGGTATTATGTTTCATCAGGGACTTCTTGATTTCTTAACTTTCTCCACCCGCAAGATAATTTTATCAAGTAAAACCTAAAATATTCTTTCCATTTCACTAACCATTCATCCTCTGTAGAATTAATTTATATTAATAATATTTTATTTAATTTCCACTAATATTTAAGTATATGCATATGGTTTATTGTATATGCATATGCCACATTGTTTTATACTTTTGTCTACAAACATTATATTTTATTTTTATACTGATTTGAAAAATGTCTGCCAAAACTTTTCATAGATGCCTAGTTTATTTGACTAGGGAAATATTTTTTTAATTTTTAATTAAAAAATTGTATTGGTGCACAATTTTACGTAATAGTGGGATTATGACACATTCATACATGCACGTGATATAATTCATTCAATTTCATTCCCATAGCTCCACTGGCCTTCCCCATCTCCCTCTCCTCGATCTCCTTTCTCGACCCCATTTATTTAAAAAGTCTAACTTTTCTCCAATGTATGTTTTTCATGCCTTTGTCAAGTATCAGACAACTGTATCTGTGGGTTCTCTGTCTTCTATTAATGTAATGGTCTATTTATGCCAATATAATGCTGTTTTTGTTACTATAACTCTATAGCATAATTTTGAAATTGTGTATTGCGATGCTTCTAGCATTGTTCTTTTTACTCAGGATTGCTTTGGCTTCTGGGCCTTTTGTTCCTCTCTATAAATTTTAGGACAGTTTTCTTTTGTTTTTTTTTTTTTTAAGAATGTCATTAGTGTTTTGATGTGGATTACATTAAATCTGTAGATTACTTTGGTAATATGACCATTTTAACAATATTAGTTCTGCCTATCCATGAAAATGGGAGGGTTTCTATTTTCTAGTGTCTTATATTTTTTTTTCTTATGTTCTGTAATTTTCATTATAGAAGTCTTTCACCTTTTTGGTTAGATTTATTCATAAATATTGAAGCTATTATAAATGGAATTGTTTTCCTGGTTACTTTTTCAGTGAATTTGTTATTGGTATATATATAAATACTACTGATTTCTATGTGATGATCTTGTATCCTGCTAATATTTTACTAAATTGTTTCTAGAAGCCTTCATATCTTCCAAAAACAAGTAATTTGACTTTTTCCTTTATTATTTGTATACTTTTTAAATTTTTTTATTTATATGACAGCAGAATGCATTATAATCCATATTACACATATAGAGCACAAATTTTCATATCTCTGTTTGTATACAAAGTATATTCACACCAATTCGTGTCTTCATACATGTACTTCTGATAATAATGTCCATCACATTCCACCATCATTTCTAACCCCAGATCCTCTCCTTTGTCCTCCCACCCCTCTGCCCTATCTAGAGTTTGTCTATT